ATCCGAGGGCAGGAAGAAGAGTTCATTTACANGTGATGGCGCAATTTGTTCTAAAAATAGAATTATTGTCCCATATCATGGGGACAACCCCAATACTTGAAAGGCGCGCGCTTACGGTCTCCGTCCCCGATTATGGCTCCTGGTTTTAATAAGAAAGTCAAGTTTCGTTTTTGGAGATTAGACAAGAAACAAGAACGCAGGGATTTCCCTGAATGAGAAAGTCATCACCTATTCGTATGACTTTCCCATATCCAACGAAATGAGTTCTGTTTTGGTTGATTACAATGAGAGGGGTCTGGACAGGGGATTCCACAGTTACCAATCACAGTGTAGGATTGGTTCATCTTGCTATCTTGTAATTGGTATTGGTATTGACAAGGTTCTCGTCGTCTCCGTGCCTGAACGCTTGGCTGCCAACAAATGTTTAACACTGGCGCTGGAATTTTTACCACAGGCTGATTGGCAGCATGTCTTCCCTCTTTGTCCTTTCCAGGCAGAGGACAGAGGAATATGCCGTTCCGTGTTCTACAAACATTACCATATACTGATTCTAGTCCTTTCTTTCATTACGTTAATTCGGCACAAACACTTAATGCTTCATAAAAGTTCAACTTGTAAAGCGCTTTTACTTGTAAAAGATATTATTTTTGAAAATACTAACAAAAGCTACATATATTGCATAAAATTTGTTCAGAGAAGTAACAACGGCAAAAGAAATACATGATAGTTCTGACACCATTTTACTTTAAAATGCTACTTTCTTCAGATTACCTTACAATTACTACTAAGTGTCAGGTTAGTTTCACGTACATTATTTAAAAATCTACTGCACGTCTCGCTGGCAAAACATTAAATTTATCACTTAATCCTCGTTATCAAAAATACCGATAACAAAAAGTATCATAACAGTTTTCTCGGTTTTCTCGTTTGAGTCCTACAGTCAGCTGCACATCACGTAATATATCAAACACGAAACGCCGTGTTTGACCACATTTCAAAACATCGAGAGGAGAGTTGAAAATATGACACGTAGCGGAGTATTGTTGACGAACCTCGACGTGTTTGACAATGTGCTCAAACACTGTCTTGATTGTTTGATATATCTTCTCAATCGATACCAAGGAGTAAACGGAGAAATTAAATCGTAAAAATTTATGTTAATTAAGATCAGATAGCGAAACACTGTCACTGTCATGATTTCCTTTGTTTAAACTTGGTGAATTATTAATGAGTTTGAGAAAGTAGTTTCAAATCTTCCAGCACTAAGTTTTGCACGAAACATTTTTGCTGAGGCATTTTTTAGACAGAAAAGGACTAAAAGGTAACCGTCCATTTAATAAACGTATGTAGATCTTAGCACTAACTCGAAAACGGTGATTGCATATTCATCCTCTCACATGCTGCCGTCCTCGTCATTCTTGCCAACACCTGACAAAGAAAATAAAAAAACAACAACAACAACAAATCTGTAACCATTTACTATAAGCTAATGTTCAGTTACTTCAAGTTCCAAAGGTTTAAGTAAGAGTAAGCTTCTCCCTTTCTGTGGCCAATTTCTTTCCGGATGGCAAGTGATCAATTTCTTCCTGGATGACAAGTGATTTCTCGAGATGTTCTCTAGCCTTCTCATATTGGCCAACTGATCGATACACGGTTCCAAGGTTTGCAAGACAGGAGGCTTCTCCATTTCTGTCATGAAGTTCTTTGTGGATCGCAAGTGATTTCTCGAGATGTTGAATGGCCTTCTCATATTCGCCAGCTGAATGATACACAGCTCCAAGGTTTCCGTGACAGCTTGCTTCCCCATTTCTGTCTCCAATTTCGTTCTGGATCGCGAGTGATTTCTCGAGATATTCTCCAGCCTTCTCATATTCGCCGACTAAATGATACACAGTTCCGAGGTTTGCGTAAGAGGAGGCTTCTCCATTTCTGTCTCCAGTTTCTTTCTGGAGCGCAATTGATTTCTGTAGATATGCTTTAGCCTTGTCATATTTGCCAATGTTTCTATACACTGATCCAAGGGTTCGGTAACAGGAAGCTTCTCCATTTCTGTCTCCAATTTCTTTCTGGATGGCAAGTGAACTCTCGAGATGTTCTCCAGCCTTCTCATATTCGCCAACTGATTGGTAAACAGCTCCAAGGGTTGCAAGACAGGAAGCTACACCACACCTGTGTCCAGTTTCTTTCTGGATCGTGAGTGACTTCTCGAGATGTTCTATAGCCTTCTCATATTTGCCGACTGAATGGTACACAATTCCGAGATTTGCGTGAGAGGCAGCTTCTCCACTTCTGTCTCCAGTTTCCTTCTGGATCGTGACTGATTTCTCGAGATGTACTTTGGCCTTCTCATATTCGCCAACTGAATGATACACAGTTCCAAGGATTGCGTAAGAGGAAGCTTCTCCATTTCTGTCTCCAGTTTCTTTCTGGATCGCGAGTGATGTCTCGAGATATGCTCTAGCCTTCCCGTATTTTCTAACTGATTTATACACTGTTCCAAGCTTTGCGTAACAGGAAGCTTCTCGATTTCTGTGTCCAATTTCTTTCTGGATCGCGAGTGATTTCTCGAGATTTTCTAGGGCCTTTTCGTATTCGCCGACTGAATGATACACAGTTCCGAGGTTTGCGTAAGAGAAGGCTTCTCCATTTCTGTCTCCAGTTTCCTTCTGGATGGAGAGTGATTTCTCGAGATGTTCTCTAGCCTTCCCATATTCGCCAACTGATTGATACACAGCTCCAAGGTTTCCATGACAGCTTGCTTCTCCATTTCTGTCTCCAATTTCTCTCTGGATGGCAAGTGATTTCTCGAGATGTTCTCTAGCCTTCTCATATTCGCCAACTGATTGATACACAGCTCCAAGGTCTCCGTGGCAGCATGCCTCTCCTTTTCTGTCTCCAATCTCTTTCTGGATGGCAAGTGATTTCTCCAGATGTTCTCTAGCTTTCGCATATTCGCCAAGTGATTGATACACAGCTCCAAGGTTTCCGTGACAGCTTGCCTCTCCTTTTCTGTCTTCAATTTCTTTCTGGGTGGCAAGTGATTTCACGAGTAGTTCTCTAGCCTTCTCATATTCGCCAACTGAAAGATAAACAGTTCCAAGGGTTAAAAGACAAGACGCTCTTCCATTTCTATCTCCTGTTTCCTTCTGGATCGCGAGTGATTTCTCGAGATGTACTTTGGCCTTTTCATATTCGCCAACTGATTGGTACACAATTCCGAGGTTTACGTAAGAGGAGGCTTCTCCATTCCTGTCTCCAGTTTCTTTCTGGATCGCGAGTGATTTCTCGAGATTTGCCTTGGCGTTTTCATATTCGCCAACTGAGTGGTACACAATTCCGAGCTTTGCGTAAGAGGAGGCTTCTCCATTTCTGTTTCCAGTTTCTTTCTGAATGGCAAGTGATTTCTCGAGATGTTCTCTAGCCTTCTCGTATTCGCCAACTGATTGATACACAGCTCCAAGGTTTCCATGGCAGCATGCTTCTCTTTTTGTGTCTCCAATTTCTTTACTGATTAGGAGCGCTTTCTCCAAGTGTTGCTTTGCTTGTGGGTATTTTCTTTGATGAAAATACGTTTCTGCAAGAAATATGCTTAGCGTACATTCTTCAAGTCTCTCACCTCTTTCGTAGCAAATTTGGAGAATTTTTTCGGCGTACTTTATGGCGTTTGTGTTATCGTTGATAAGACCACAAGCCTTCCACATTGTACAATATATCCTCTTGTAGAATGATTTGCTTAATTCCTGGTCTTTCATGCCTGCTCTGTCTTTCAGAATGAACAAACATTCCTTGCATAATTCGATGGCTCTTAGAAATCGTTTGGTGTTGAGAAGGAAGCCGGCAACAATAAGGCCGATGGAGATGACTTGTATAACTTCTTCCACGTTGTTCATGTCAAACCTCTGTCAGAAGAAAACAAATTTGGAACTAACCATTGGTAAACTGCTGTTGCTATAATTGTAATATGAACATGTATTACTATACTACAGTATTATCGTATCTCCTTGGAAACCGTAGCGCAACTAAGAGATGGTAGCGAGGGGATTTATCGATAAATTTTACATGTGGGAACTGCTTAAAACCGTTGGTTGTACGAAAGTCTTGAGCCGTGTTAATTCATCGCACAATTTTCGTTTCATATTTTAAATCGTGTTTTGGTTTAAACACGAGATACCTTTAAAGCTACTGAGTTCTAAAAATTGAAATTCATCGTGGAATCCAAATTATTCTCGGGTTGTTTGTTATTTAGTCTGAAATATGCTTATTGCACAATAGCATTAATAGTTTATTTAGGTTAGAAAAGACCAAAAAGTGAATGACGTTTTCAACAATACATGTATGTTTATCCAGACGTTCGCATAATTAAACGCTGAACAATCTATTATCGCATATTCTTTGCTTTCAGAAAGACAAATTTGTCAGAATTTTGCTGTTAGAAATTGCGGGCAAGGAAACATGATTCGCATCTCCAACAAAAATGTTTTGGCTATTACGGTCATTTTTGAAAAAAAGAAAAACAACCAATAACATAGGGTGCTACAAATAGCATACTAAACTCACTCACGAGTCGTCGTTTTTGGTATTCTTTAACCAAGATAAATCTTGGTTTAAAGAATACAAAAAAGCGACGACTGTCTATCTTTACACTGGGGTTTGTTTGCCTATAGGATGACAGAAAAACCATCACAAGTTCATTGTATACGTTACGCGAGTAAGACTTAGTTTTGCCCCTAACTTCATATATAGAGCACATTGTTGAATTTAAATAGGGACAACAGAGGTAAAAATATTGAAATATAAAGGCAAAGGTAAACTCCTCAAAAAATGAAAGTTACAGACGAAGACAGAAAAACATGCTGTAAAATTCACTGACAAAAATAGACCCAAAAAAATGGAATTTATAATGTAAGATGATATCAAAAAACTGAAAAATTTCACATGAACAGGAACTCGCAAAACTGAAAGTCTTGATTACAGTCAAAGATAGAGGCAAAAAATTCAATTCACAAGCAAAATTAAACCTGGAAAATTGAAAGTCACAAACAAAAACACAAAACTGTGGGCAACACACAAATGTGAGGGCACAAAACTCTAGATCATACACTAAGATAAACACACATAGCAGCCAATCAGAGGCTGAGAGAAGATGTACAAAACTGTCAGTCAAGTGACAAACAAAATGAACACAAAAATGAAAACTGATTCATGCAGATCAGTGAGCACGAAACTGAAAGTGTCCCAAAATTGCTTTCTAATTATACTTTTCTGCACCGAACATTAAAATTATCATAAGTTTGAGCATCAGTTTTGACTTTCCTTTAATGGAGAAGTAGGTCGACTGTTGAGATTGGCACACAAGTAATAAGTCAAATTCTCCTGCTTTGAAAAATGGAATATTTAGAAAACGTAAAGAGGTTGTTAAGCCATTTCCAGAAATGTCCCCGAGCCAACATGGGCATTTATTATTGTTTGTCTATTTTTCTCCTTATTATGACTAGTAATAGTTCTCACTAAAGCTACCCTCGCTTGTTTTTTGCTGGTTGAACACATTCAAAAATACTGCATGAACTAAAACTTTTATTTCTTTTTCTGTATACTGTATCACTCATAATAACCATTATAATGTTCCTTTGGCAATTTATCATGAGTGAAATCAAAAGACCCAACACAACAAATGGTTTTTAACTCATTTCAGACATTTAACACGATATTCTTTACATAATATCTTACGAAGCATTTACAGCAGAGCAATTTGCCATATCTCGTTTGAAAGGGAACACAAAGACTTTCCAGGAGAAAATAGATTGCCTTAATGGAAAAACAATTAATATTTCTTTTACAAAAATTTCAACCGGTAGAAATTAGCAAAAAAAGATTAAAAAATTTGAGAGGCACAAAAAATTATGTAAAACCACTTTGCTGTTCGAATTTGATGTAGAAATAAATTGTTTATCTTGTTATACGAACAAACGTATCCCGAAAGCAGAACAGAAATCGAGAATGTCGCGATTTTTTTCGAGACGTAAACAGAATCACCATGCAGACCTCCCATAAATGCAACAAAGGAAAACGCTGCAAAATGAAGCTCTTATCCAAAGTTATTGCATTCAACGCTACGTTATATTAATCATTACAAATAGGCGATCCAAATAAGCGAGATTCCAAACGTAAAACTGGCGATCTGAAGGTTATTTTAAGTCGCATTAGTGTGGACATGTATTGATATCGCGAACACGTGCACTGCGCAGTGACATAGGATCGTTCAGCCAGAATTCTCGTTTCGATTTTCGAGATAATTCAGAAAACTACTTTCTTAATTATTTCCAATACCTTCTGAGTTGTTTTCGTCCCAAAATCCATCTTCAGGATCTTTGAAATCCTTTTATGTAAATTTGTCCTAGAATCTCCGGAATCTCCGCCATTTCGAAGTGAAATTGCTTGATCGCGTTAAAAATCGTCATGTAGGCAATACTGGAGTGTCTTGGCCTCCGGGCCAAAACCCTGGCCTCGCGAGGGTTGCGTTGAAAGTCGAGCGAATTTAACCAAAGATGAACTCTCTGCTTGATCGCTACGTGAGAGGAATACATAAGGCCATGTCAGAAGGAACTTCGCCAACGTTGGGGAGGGGATTATGCTCCTACTTTACACTTAAAATAATAATATTTGGCTTGAAAAAATCAGAACGGAGGTTCCAATTCTTTTACCGGCAATTTCAACACACCTGCATTTTCAACACATCGATCTTCAGTATTTACGAGGTAAATATTGCTAAGAGAAAAACCTGAATCAAATGTACACTCACCACTAATCCCTTTCACAGAGCAAAAGAAAAAAAAAGGAAAAAAACACTTTAAAATCTTGTAACAGCGTTTCAGATCACAACGGGGACTCAGTGTCTGCAACATAACAGAAGAATTATATCACAACCTTGTTCATGTATTCTTTTCCATCCTTCAACTAACGCAAAGAGACCTAACTTTAAAACGTATAGCTTTTTATTTTACTTCATTACTTTAGAGAGTCAAAGTAAAAGTTTCCTTATTTAAGAGCTCACCTATCAGAATGTAGTCAGAATCAATGTACTGAGGTTAATACTGTTCTACCACAACATATATGCATATTTTATCAGTATTATATAATGCGCGAGAAGGTTTACCACGTACACCTGGAATCTTAACGCCTGTTAACCAGTGTATAACTTGAAGAGTTCATATCCTGGCAGTGGGCAACTTTCATTTATAAATGCAAATGTTTCTGTCTTCGTGTAATGGTATAGTTTATCTTAAAGATAACAAACTGTTTTCCTTTAGCTCTTTGCTTCAAAACTTGAGTTAAACTTACTGTACTTACCGTTCGATGAGAAATTCAATTCAAAATGAAATTCAAACGTCTGGCAGCTAATAAAACAGTCTCCTTCAAAATAACAATGACGCACGAGTTAGTAGACTTACGAACCATGTGATACGCTTTCGTTTTCTACTGGCCACGGAGTCTTTTTTATATATCTTCAAAACATGTATCAAATTAAATAGGCAGAACGAGTAGTTATTTAACATTTCCTGCCTGACATTTGTAATTCCTTTTAGCCTATCCATGCCGGACACTTATTTTGTGGCGGTAGTCTTATTTTTGCAAATACTAGCATTTGTCATTGCTTCACAGTCGGCATATTTCACTTTTTCCTCGTGTTTCAGTTTTCATTCGCAAATTCTGTCAAAATCATAGGATTTAAGAACACGTTTGGTTTTGTTACTATATATTTACACACAGGTATGCCTCAACGTGTGAAAATTGAAAAACTTATTTCCTCTGTTGCTGACCTGAGCTTAGTAAATATGCGATGAGATGGCTAAAACAACACGGGTGTTCCACTTGTACTCGAGTCTTTCGTACAAAATAAAATATCACCCCTTCATAGTTTCATTCAGGAAACAGACTTTCCACAAAACACTATTACGGGAGGCATGACGGTGTTAAGAAAGTGCAATCTTAACTTTGTGAGAAAACTGTAAATTTTGAAACACATGAGCGCCACAAAAGTTTCAGTTCTTGAAAACTATAATGGTAGTTTTAAGACATCATGAAAACAAAAGCCCACTGCGAAGTTAGTTTTATTTTATTATTTTTCAAGAGACGTGCAGGGACGCAAATTTTTCAAGAATTCAAGTATTGCATCAGCCTGCAGAACGAGGAGTTTTGCCGCGTTCTTGATGGAGTATGACACTACCGTGATCCTATTTTCCTGTACTGTCTTATCGACTTATACTTGACGTTTACCACATGCTAACATCCTAAACTACTTCACAAACCGTCTGCATGGAATACAGAAAAAGCACAAATTTATTTCCTAGGCACTCAACATAATATAGTAGGTTTTGGTATTGAAGTTTTAATGTCTATATACATGGCATTTGTACAGTGAGTAAGTGAGTATCTTAGATTAGTTTCTGCATCTCCGTCTTCTTGTCTCGAGAATCTGACAGCCAACTTGGATACCAAATAGGCGTGGCACAAAATGTCATTCACATGTCACTGAAATGACAGCTTGACAGGAGACTGTACCCAGTCTCCTCACAGATGTTTTTCTGAGTGACGTAGAACTGTCGTTTTTGACAGCTGTTTTCATCAAACACAATCTTCACTCCGCTTCATAGTTCTGTTCCGAGGCTGCCGCATTGACTGCTGCAGCTAAATCTTCTCCCTGTTGTAACTGTTCTCCTGGAAAATGTGAGAAAAAATAAATTGTAAATGACTTCAGTGAATGACAGTACAACAATTCCTTGTCTACTAGCAGTGGTTTTCATTAACAACATATTAACGGAGAGTGAGGTCTTAAAGGGAAAATCTAAAACCGAGACCTTGCCGTTTCCGTTTTGTGCTGGCGTCCGCGCGTTCAACGATCGGATAAAAATATGAGAAAATAAAGGGCTGCGAAGGGCTGTGAACACAACCTGTGCAGTATTTCTCTTTTTGACAGAAAAGGTGCACTTCCTTTGAACTGCATTCACTTGCGTTTAATGCCCTACTTCAGTGAATCTACCACTTACTTATAAGTTCAACTATTGCCCTTTGTGTTCTCTTTTCTAACTTTTCAAGTTTCTTTGCAACGTCACGCTTCAAGTCCCTGAAAACAGAAAACAATTTAAGGAAACTAGTTTTTCTAATGTTTTGTAGTTCTTGCACACCATATGTAGTGATACAGAGCTCAATCAGTATTGCACGATATATACATGTACCGGTGTATGTATCTGTCTTTCCCTGTAGCTAGCAAGAAAGCAGTCTATTCATGTACTAAAATAAAGACACCATTTGCCTAACAACAAGTTATGATTGCTCAGAGCAAAATAAACAAAACAACACACAAACATAACTATATCATTTACTTGCACTATAGTAACTGCCAAAACAATTTTTTTTTTCTGGGAATCAGGACTGCACAATTCACACCAGACACCCATACAATATGTATCTCAGGTAAATGTACCTTTCTTGACATAATACACACATACAATACAAGGCTTCAAAGACAAGTGGATCAACTAACCAGTCAGGCTTTCTTGGTGCTAAGTTAGCCAGATCCTGTAGTGAGAAAATTCAAGGATAAGAAAAAGCACAGCTCTGTTAAACAAACTTCATTTACTCTGAAGAAAATGGACTATGGAAACCCACAATTTAGTACAACAAAAATCCTACTTGGTATTAATCAATTAACATTGTTTTATGAATAATAACTTTCATTTTTTTACAATTTGATATTAATTTCATGAGAATTGTCAGAGGGTGGATTGTTTACCTGATGGTACAAAAGGACAACAGCTGTCAATAAAAGAAATGCACTTCTTACCACTTCATCTATAACTTTCTCAGCTTTGGCTTTTTGTAGGTGCTCTTGTACTTCATCTTCAACTGAAATTAAGAGTACAGGTCAAAAAACTTATTTTTTCCACAATTGCTACTAATCTCACAATCTGATTGGCTAATATGCCGTTGTCGATAAGAGTCCAGACAACGCTGCTTGTGTCAATATGTCACGCTCTTGGCTACGCTCTGAAAAAAACATTTTCTTTGGCGTTGATATTGTGGTAAAAAACAAATTGAATGTGGTTTAGCCTGGTCTGTACTCTTATCGACAACGATATGTATCATCACAGTGGTCAAAATTTGTCGTGGACTCACGAGACTGCACACAACATTTTGACCACTGTGATGACGCATATTGTTGTTAGTAAGAGTACAGACAATGCTAAACCACATTCAATTTGTTAAGTTGACTAAGTCAAGGAAAATCAAACAATTTCCATATAGAATATAAAATAAGATATACATATTATGTACCTAACCCTAGCAGAGAATTGCTCACCACTCACAGAAATAAACTGAGCGAGGTCAATTCAGCGCCATTATAATTAGCAGTCTACAAAACTACTGGTTGCCACAAAATATTACAACATAGTTTACCGCTAGCAAAGCCATGTTATCAAACTCCATATATTGCATGCATCATAATTCAATGATGCATGTTCATTAATATTACAGGTGGATATATTAAATTGAACCCAACCATTTAAGAGAGAGCCATTAAATATACTTTAAAGGAGTCAAAAACAGGAATTGCCCAGTCTTCATCCCTTCTGTTCCAACTGCCCATTCCCTATTTACAATAAACGTTTTGTCCTATTTTTGTGATGATAAGACATCACCTAGTTTTCACATGATTACAAATCAAAATCCAACATGGTAGTTTTATCTTACAGCAGCACACCTGATAGAGGTTTTGCATTTGGCATCTTCTTGTCCTTTAACGCTTCATCTTTGGGTTGGTAGTTTCTAAATTTTATCAGCCTGGGTGGAGGTCTATAAAAAAGAAATGAACATAGTCAAAACTCAAGCGTGATTTAGGTGGAGCTAAAACAGAAAGCAAGGACTCTTTTCCACTAAGGAGGTGCAGTAAATACATGTATGTGCCATCAGAAGAAGTAACTGTAAAGAATGACATATTATAAATAAATATACATCTTGACATGCGATATGCGCAGATGTTTCCTGAGTTGCCTAACATTTGTGGCCAGGGTTTGTCGGGGGCGGGGGAGGGATGTTGGTTCTATGCGAGTAGACCGAATACACAAGAACCGATACAAAAGACCCAACAATATACCACAGCGAAACAAAGGCTCGTAAAGGAGTACAATAGTTATTCCCTCCGTGTACCGGTACACACTGCGGTACACCAGGACACAACCGGGAGATTTGTCTCTATTGAATTTAAGCTATGCATGGCCACTTACGCAGGTTGAGACGTGTCATCTAAAGCTCGCTTTTCCCCTCTTAAGGAATCACTCTCATCAGAGGCCTGTCAATCACAAACAAAGAGTGTGGATTTAGCACAGGATAGGATCACTTCACCACAGTCTAGACAAAATAATCTGAAAGATCTTGAAAATAAGCGAAATCACTAGCAAAATATATCATGCATCTCAGATACCTGTTCATCTGCCAACCCACTTTTCTTTCGCATTGCTTTTAAGCGCTCTCTACGTTTCAGAGCTTCTTCTTCCAAACTGCCCTCTACGGCCGCCATATTGAATCTTACTGCCCCAAAGGCTTGTGGGAATGATGGAAAGGATCAAGGGAAAATTATTTTACGTGGGAAACAAAATGGCGGACGTTTGGTTACTAAAAACATTACATGTTTTTTAGCATAACAGTTTATAGATTTTTCACAAATTTAAAAGAAGGCTTCATAAGATATCTAAAATGGCTTCAAGTGATACTGTTACCCTGGTAAGTAACTAAATGGCTCGTAAGAAATTTTAAAAATTCCAAAGATAGATATTTTCCGGTGTCCTTGGTTGCTATAAACGTATTATTCGTCGCCATCTTATAATTAGCAACAAGATTTGCTGCAATTGTCGTGGTATTAAATAATTTTCTTTTTTCATATGTTTATAGGCTTATATCAACTACTACTGTCGCGAAAAGTACTACAGACACTTGCAGAATGCCTGTCTCGAGAGCCTGAAGAAATATGGCAACGATCCAGTGTTGATATTTTGGAAGGCATTTGGAGTTTTAATGGAAGGTCAGTGGTCTGATTACAGACTTATTTAATAAGCTTAAATTACTGGCAGCACAAGGCCCCGAATTGTTTGTCATGGTATGGTCGTTTCGTTTGTACCATAGGACTTTAATTTCCTTCATTGTAGCCAAAGAAGTTAATCCAAAAATGAAGCAAAGCTTTGTGTTCGGCTTTTGTGGCAATATTAACATCTTAATGAATAGTAACGTCTACATTAAAGAAAAGAGATTTTCCTAGTGGGATTGCCTCCAAAGTTGGTTACCTTTCAGTGTTTTGCTTCTATGTACACCTTTATTGCCCTCACAGGGTTTCGGCCCAGAGGTCAAAACCCAAGGAGACACCCTAGAAGTCCCCACATGTAAACATACAAGGAATTTGAAAAACGTAAGAAATGTGTTGGTAGTATGGGAATTTTTCTTGATTTGACTAAACTAGGCACGTATGGTGGTCTCGGGTAATACTTTAGCGAGCAGGTATACAAGGAATTTCAAAAACATAAGAAATGCTTTGGTAATATGGGCAGCTTTCTCGATTTTACTAAACTAGGCATGCTTGGTGGTCCCGATGACCATCCTCTAGCAGCATTTTAAGGTTCTTGTAACCACTAGTTCGCGTTTCGCCATCTTCGAGCAGCATTTCAAAGTCTCCCAACCACGAGTTCGCATTTCGCCATCTTTGAGCAGCATTTCAAGGTCAAAAATACACTCCAGTTACAATTTGGCCTGCATGACGATTTTGGCACCATCAAATAAATTCACTTCGAAATGGCCGAGATTCTTATCTAGGACGAATTGAGAACGATTTCAAAGATCCTGAAGATGGATTTTGGGAGAAAATCAACTCAGAAGGTATTGTAAGAAATTCTGAAGTATACTAGAAGTTTGAGGTCAGTGTGGTTCAATTGTAACTAAATAGCTAAATACCCTTCCGATCACCAGTTTTACCTTTGGCATCTCATCTATTTAGATCAGTTATTTGTATTGAGTAATCCTCTGTGGCATAGAGCTCATGTGTGGGCTGGGTGACTTTGCAGGGATCCAAATGTAAATGTAAATGTTTTGCAGTGTTTTCATTGAGGTCAAAAAGCTCGACTCTAATTTGCATATACATGTATGGTGACTGTAACGTGATACTTCTGTTCTGCTTTTGAGATAGGTTTGTTTGTTTCAGCATCAAATTGGAACAGCAGAGTAGTTTGAATTAATGTTTTGTTTCGCTATGATTTTTTAACCTTTATCTCCCTATAAAGTTCTACTGAGCGAAATTTTTGTAAAAGAAATATTAGTTTCCATGAAGGCAACCTATTTATTTTTTCCAGAAAGTACTTTTTGCATCCTTTCTAACTAGATATGGTAAACTGCTCTACTGTAAATGCTTCATGAGAGTATTATGTAAAGAAGATTATGTGTTAGAATGAGTTAAACAGAATGTGCACTTGGTTTAGTTAACTTAGTTGATTGTTTGGATCATATTCATGGTAGGATGCCTAAATTACTGGAACAGTATGAGTGATATAGTTTGCAAAAAAAAAAAAATGTTTTAGTTCATACAAAAATGTTCAATATTATTGTTTTCAATCAGCAGAAATAAAAGAAAGCAGGGGCAGATTTAGTGATAACTATTATTAGTATTAAGCTTTGCAGAGAATAGTCTTTGTCTGCAGCTTGCATGGTCCACCACATGCAACTGTGGTGTTATCACAGGAAATGTCTCATGCTGGAGCCAGGTTTTAGCATGAAAATGGGCTTAAATATAAATATTTATTTATTATTATTATTATTTATTATTAAAGGAATTCAGACTCATTTAGCTATTGTTGAGCCTTTACAATTATTTTTCATTTTTCCTGAGACACCAAGGTGTATGTTATGTAGAATGGTCCCGAGGGTGTCTGCTGTAGCTAGAGATGACTGTATTCATGACAAAAATGAACTGTGCACAGTATGAAGAACATACAATTGCAACAATTAGGAAACAGGTGTTCTGGAAGTTGTCTGAGTTATTATGTATTATATGATTTACAGACAGAGCCTCTGAGGCAATAAGAGAACTGGAAGTGATCAAGGAGAAGCCAGATGTACTGTTGTGTGCCACCATGGCACTAATCCATGCACACAAGAAAGCCAAACTTGTTGACAGGGAAGCAGTTCAAGAGCTAGAGACCAAGCTTAGGCAAGATCGACAGTCATGTGGTGAGATGGCACTGTATTTTGGTAGTATGTTCCTGTGGCATACAGGACGGCATGACAAGGCCCGAGAATATGTTGACAGGATGCTCAAAATGGCTACTGGCAACAAAGAGGTAAAAATAAATAAGTACATACTCGTTTTTTGCATTCCTCCCCAAGTGCTGCACCTTTAAAGTGGTGGGGAGGTTTACGTGCCTTAGTGACCCTGGAAGCTATACCAGCTGGGACTGCAGTCCCTGGTAGGTTCAACCTTGCTGGGAAGGTTCCAGATGAAAGGTCAGATGAACTGTAGCACCTGGCCCTCCAACTTGGGGGTTGGGCAAAGGGCCAATAACCTTTCCCTGTAAAACATCTCATATAACGGAAACCGCGAGTACTTTGTGACCTTATGCACAACAGAGCGTGAAGAATATAGGTGAGGCGAGGTGAGTTTTTGCATAAGGTGTACATTTGTGCTAAATATATTTTCTCGGCCTCCTTAGTGCACAGTCATGTAACTAATGTCTGGTAGGTGTTTAATGCGTAATATGCATAACAACAATAATTGGACTAAACATTTTATCTCAGGGCCTTCTTTTGCGAGCTTGGATTGACATAACCAGTGGAAAGGACTCCCATGTGAAAAAGAGTATTAAAATGTTTGATGAAGTACTCGGTGGGTGAGTACTGGTACTTTGCTGTTTTCTGCTACTGATACTTTATTGTTAACTATTAATATATTAGCAAATGGTTACAATACTGTCAAATTAGGTTTATGCTTTAAGATGATAATGATAATTTCTCTTGCATGGTTATGTTCAGCTGATAATAGTGTTATTTATAACCATGTTTTCATTTCAACATTTGAAAATTTACCTACTTGTAGGTCTGAGGTTGTAAAAAATGTGGATGCCTTGTTTGGAAAGGTCAGTACTGACAGATTTTCATCCATTTCCCAAGTACCTTGTGACCATCCTAAATTTTCCCACTTTGGCATGAACACTTACAGTACATTGGTACTTTTTTTTTAACACATTCATGCTTGAGAACAAATAGGCCAATACAAATGATGTTTCTGGTATTATATTTAATCCAGAAAATGTTATTGAAAGAACTGTTGAATTATATTAAATTAAGATAAGCTTAAACTTCATCCTAGATCCAGCGTGTTTTTTTGTTATGTCCCATTGGGCACGAGATGACCGGCCTTTCAGGCTATAGCCAGCAACAATTTATAATAACTGTTTGTTAACCGAACTTTTTTTAAAGGCCAAGTACCTGGAGACAAAGAATAACTTCAGTGGTGCACTAGAACTCATCAATCAGGTCTGTAAAATTGATACTCCTAATTATTAACTCTGTATGGCATGTTAAATAGTAAGCAAGCAAAATCAAGCCACTAGCTTACCATACAAGAATGCAGATTAATGCTTGCTGGCATTTTAGGGAGGCAAACTCATCAGTATAGTATAATGCATCACTTTTGAGGTGCTGCCATTAAACAAGTTGAGTGTCCTACCTTTGTTATGCAGCTTATAATCAGTACTGTGGCAATAAATAAGATGGTGTGTAAGTGTGTAATGTTTATTAGTCAGTGATTACAAGAGTCAGTGATCAAGTGAGTCATTTGAATCAGTCAGTCAGTGAGTCAGTTAGTCAGACAGACAGGCAGACAGGGCAGGCTGTCAGTCAGTCAGTCAGTCTGTCAGTCAGTCAGTCAGCCTGTCTGTCAGTCAGTCAATCAGTCAGTCAGTCAGTCAGTCAGTCAGTCAATGAGTCAGTCAGTCAGTCAGTCAGTCAGTCAGTCAGTCAGTCAGTCAGCCTGTCTGGCAGTCAGTTATTGACTCAGATGTTCCATCAGTCAGTTAGTCAGTCAGGCCAGCAGTCTGTTTGTTAAATCAATAGAAATACCTTAATATTTTAGTTAATAAATCATTACATGCAAAATGTATGGCCTTACCATAAGATCATTTTATCATCAACTGTTTTCATAGGCTGTAGTGGGATATCCAGACTTTATACCTGCCTTGATTGAAAAGATGAGACTTCAACTTGCTCTTCAAGATTGGGATCAAACACTGGAGACAGCACAAAGGTAACAATACTGTCAAATTTCTAGAACTTCCCAGCTATTTATTAAAAAAAAAAATCAAAATTGTTGCCAATCATAGCTATGGGGAAAGCAGTCCTCAATGTGTGACACTACATGACATTATTTTTCGTTTTGTGTTTTGTCAGGGCTCTGAACAGTAACAGAAACTGCATTGAAGCACAGAGGATGATAGTGATGTACACCTTGTGTCGAGATGGAAAGTACAGTGAGGTGAATAAGAAGAAAACATTTATTAAATATTGTTACTTTCTTGATGGATGATCCTTGTGATCCAAACATTTTAACACTTGAAACAGTTGAGTTTTGTACTTGTTCAACTTGGTTGCCAGAATATCTAGCATGAACAGTTTAGATAGTATCTGCAAATCTCACATTTTGAAATTGTGGCTTTACCAAGGTTAATTTGATTAAGTTTCAATGAAATACATGTATATCCTTTGAATGTTACAAATTATTGCAAACTGTTAAATACAGTCAGTATTAATCATTTTAAATGTTCAATTGTTTTAGGCCTCAGATAGATTAGGAGAATTGATTCAGATGGTGGACAGATGTGAGCCAAGGAACTCATTTTTGTATCATGATTTGTCACAGGCGTTCAGCCGACTGGTATGTATTAAAATTATCTTCAGTGGACAAGTTCAAACTGAGTATGAGTACCAGCCATGCATCTGGGCTGCAAATAGCACTTGGATTCTCACAGGACTTTAACAACGGGAGTCCCAAGTGTTGTTCGGACAGGCCAAATAATTTTTAATGTGCTTTAGAAAGGATTGCTACAACAAAGCTCGTGCCTTCAGCAGGTTTAGACAAAGTTTATTGAAGCGACATGCTGAAACGTTACATAGACACTTTAAAACCTTGTAAAAATGATACTAATTGCACATAAAGCAATGTGTAGCAAAACGGTACAACAAAGAGGTAAACCAAGTGATGCAACAAAGCGATAACCAAAGCGGTTTCAAAAAACTGAGAAGTAAATATAGTGAAAACTGTAATAAGAATAACTAGAAAGAACTACAAAACTTAGAAACAATGAACTATAAAATAAAAAATGAAGCAAAACTTAATTCTGTGTCCACTTGTGAAATTTCACGAGTTGAAGGGTAGAAACCTTAAAAAACTTGATGTTAACAAATTGAAAGGCTTACTCAAACTGAAAGTTTTCCTGAACACATTAGAAGAGCTTCTAAGTAATACAAAGGATAATAGCTTTCTTTGTTCTAAACATCGCATGTGGGTAAACATATCCTTGGACTAACCACAAAAACATGTAAAACAACTATACAAAGAAACTTCCAAAGGTTAGAGAGGAAATGCAAAAAACCATAAATATTTGGCAGCAACACTTGGCTTAGAAGTTAAAGTAATGAACTTTTATGTTGATGATTTCAGTGCGGTAGAAATGATCTGGTGTTGCAACAGACTCTCACACTGGTGGAAAGAGCTCAGTCTCTTGCTCCTAACAATGCTGAGTATCAGACAGAGGTAAGACAACTGCAAGCATATCTGTTATTCTTTCTACCACATAACTTTCCATTATATGGCAGAACCAGCCCTGGCAGTTGCTCCTCATCTGAACTGAGGTCAATTTGTCAGTAAACCAACAAACAAACAAGTGAACAAATGAACAAATGAACAAACGAACAAACGAACTAAGGAACCAACGAACAAATGGATGAACAAATGAATGAACAAACAAATGAATGAATGAATGTATGAATGAACAAACAAATGAATAAGATATTGAAATTTAGAGTAACGAGACAGGGAGAATAGTACACAGATTCATCTACTAGTGTGGACAGGTTGCTGCAGTCATGCATACATGTAATAGCAAAAAAATCCAAAGTGGTGTATTGTAAGATATCAGAATATTCCATTCTTTTTCAAATTCGGCACGGCAGTAAAGTGATCATCTTTATCATCAATGTAAAACTAATTGCTTTTCATTAGGTTGGAAATCAGCTCACATTACATCATCGAATCCGAGAAGCAATGAAGGCATTCCGTACTGCTATGAAGCTTGATGAGACAAGTGTGCCAGCGTTAACAGGTCTGTAGACCTCAACTGATTTCATTGAACTTTTTTTGAAGAAATCGATGTCATGCGTGGGAGGCATTTTACAACAAATAAGAATTCAATGTTATTCAGCAATGAAGCAGAAACATATGGTGTGGACATGGTATCCCAGTTTCACAGTATACTAAAATTTGATGTTTTGAAAATTTCATCAAATAATGGGGACTGAAGTATCCTACAAAATACGGAAATGAAACGTGATCTATTGTAAAGTTGAAAAGCAGATCTTCTTTTAAACATGACAAAAGTATTTTCTGCGAGGATATCAAACCCTTAGTGCTCTTATTGTAGATGTATTGCTAACCTTTGGGCATTATAGGCATAATAAAGTGTCAACTGATAGAGGGACAGCTTGAGGATGCAGAACAGCAACTAGAGTTTCTCAATGAAATCCAACAGTCTATTGGAAAATCATCTGTAAGTTGTCTGTTTTTTCTTAGTCAGAGGTTTTCTTAAAGTTAGAAGGTCTAGAGGGAAGAGGTATGTAAATATTAACAAAGAAATTGCCTTTTTTATAGGAGCTGTCATACCTAAGCTCTGTCTTGTACAGACAGAAAAACAAGCCAGCTGAGGAAGTGATAATCCTGCTAAATGAAGCTGTGGATGCTCATTTTGCTTCTCTCAAGGTTAGACTTGTAATAACAAGTCAGCAGTAGCTTTCAACATTTCCATAAGATAAATCAGAAGGGGAGGGGTTCTATTTAACACAACCAATCATTAAACTTTTAAAAGTTGAAGCCTGTTAATATGGACAGCAAAGAACTGCAATATCCAGGTTTCCGTATTAACAGGTCCTCAGAATAGCTGTCACTGACATGTTAAATCGATATTTAAAGGCAACAGAAGGGGATGTTCAATGTCTTAACTGTAACTAAAGTTCAAACTGAAGAGGTTTACTCTCATATAAATAGTGAAATGCTTCACACTGAAATTGATGTTTTCTTGTTTTAAATGTCATAGCATAATCTGTGAAAAAATCTGGGAATCTAATGAAATAGGTCTTATGCATGATTGTGTCATATGCTCAAAATTCACCATCAGGCCTCATTTATGAGAAATTTTCTCAAATCTTAGGCACCTTTGTGTTGTTTTCACAAGGATGTTCTTTTCATCTTTGCTGCTTTGGAAATTTGTCCACATTAAAATTTGCAATTTGCATTTTAAAATCAAGGCTTGGTGGTGAAATGTGTTTGTTTGATTTCATCATGCATAAGGGCTATTGCATTACCTCGCAGAAAGTTTTCATTTTATTACAAGATGCAATCAGCTTGTAATCATGACAAAATGACAATCTGGAAAATATTCAGTATGTAGATCAACCAGCGTTTGTAAAGTGAAGATAAATTTTGTCCGAGAGTTTATCACTTGGGTCACATAAAAGTGTCTGCATATCAGGAAAAATAATACAAGCTTTTCATCAGAACAGATAAAACTGCCTGTAATAAGGGGGTGTCTGTAGAGCAGGATAGTGCTGTACTCTCATATTTTAGCACAGGGGAAACTTATCTGATCATTTTTAAATGAGCCAAGATGAGTTTTCTCTGTGCCTAAAACATACATGATCATTGCTTTTTTAACTATCTTGCATGTCGTCCCTATCAAAATCAAATTGTAAATGTGCCCTGAAAGTAATTAATTAACAAAGTAATTGTTGGTCAGATCTCTCTATATATATACGTTTAAATTGCAAGTGTGCTCAGTGGGAGCTTTAGGTTATGGAGGTAGAAGAGCTAAGTAAAGAGACGTGCCTTGACTAACGGGTAAAATGATACACGACTTAAGCGACCTAATGCTCAATCAATGTTATAGTTGTTGGGTAAAGTTAAAAGTTGTTAAGAATCAGAAAGGTGGGTATTTTACATTGTGAATGTATTGAAAAATTAATTTGAGGTTAAGAAGATCTGCAACACCCTATTTCTTCTTTATTGTGCTTTTTAGGGTCTTGCCCTTGGAGTGAAGTATTTCTTCTACTTAAATCCAGATTTTCTTCTCCAAATAATTAATGATTACCTTGTCTATGCACCCACGGAGGTACGTGCACATAAAATGTTTCATATGTTACAGCTCTTATAGTTTTGTATCATGGCGGAAGTCAAACAGTTGCATGTTTTAATAAATGCCAAAGGGCTTTATAAATGTTTCAAGACTTAGTGGGTTTATAGCTAAATTGAAAATGTACACCATGAGCTCCAAAACAAAAAGAAAAACAAAAGCAAATTAAAATTTGGTTACAATTTTCTATGGTGACACTGTTGCAGTGTGACTTCTTGCAGTTAACATAACATAATTGTTTTGTTTTCAGGCACAGAGTCCTGGCCAACCTCCACCTCCTCTTCTTAAGCGCTGTGCTGCTGTTTTGGATCCACTGACTAAAAGTGTGCCTGGATTACTGGAGGGACTCTATCTTATGGCTAAAGTCAAGTACTTGTCAGGTAAAAAAGTGTTAGGAAGAAAAATGCATCAGTGTTTGAGGTACGAAATTAGCCAAATTGTAAGTGAGTTGTTTTTCCAGTAGGCAGATTTTTTAATGAATAGCTTTCTGCTGAGTTTCTTAATAAACTTATTTGTCATACACACCGTATGCATCCTGTCGACTTTTATATCAGGGGAAACAGATGCTGCTAAAGCCATGTTGACTCACTGTTTAGACCAAGACCCAACTTTTTCAGATGCACATCTTCTCATGGCTCAGGTAAGCTATAGACTGAGTGACATTGAAATATTTTGAAGTAGAATTGTGAAAGTCACTACTGAACTTGCCATTTAAGCATTTCATGCATGATCCGGTGAGGCAATTGTTTGGACTTAGAGTGATAGTATTTTTCTTAGCAACTGAAGTAATGGGATGTAAAGGCATCTGCAACCTCATACTTTTTTCCTCTTCACATTGCCAAGTTTGCACATTCTTTTGCAACGAAATGTAATTGTGTTAACTAAATGTATCAACAGATTCATCTCCAGCAAGGTAACTTCAAACTTTCAGAGCAATCTCTTGAAGTTGGACTCAGTTATAACTTTGAGGTGAGTCACCGCTGCACTTACCTCCTTAGCATGGTTATCTGATAATTCTGCTATACATGTGAAGCAGTAAAGAGGACTTTGATGCTGACCTTCGGCTAACAGTAAGGAGTAAACCTGAATGAGATGATCACCCATCGGGGGAAGCTTACTCCAATCTAGAAGCCATGTCAGTATGTACCACTATGTGGGTCTCAGTTTTACCCTCTTGCTTACATCCTTAGTTTACTAAGGATTTCGTATAATTTGAGATGGAGACCTCTTTAGTGTAATTATAAATCAGTATTAAAACCAAATTCTTCCCCTGAAATGGGATTGGAAAAGTATTTTTTTCGGCCTGTAAAAACAAGCAAAATGGTAGGAGACCATAGTTCACTGAAGGACACCTTCCCAAAATATTTTACTTTGACAATCCCCTCTAACCTGGAAATAACCGCTATTAAACTTTGACCAGCTGTCACACATGTGGTAACAAGCTTGCGATTTGTGCTTTTTTCAGGTGAGGAACCATCCCTTGTATCATCTTATAAAAGCTCGAGTGCAGAAGAAGATGGGCCACCCTGACGAAAGTGTGAACACCATGCAAGCTGCAATGAACCTGCCGGGAGTAAAGAAAGCAGGTATGCAAACATTGTCATTGTAAACAAGGTCACCCTCGATAGTGTTCTAAACAACCTAGGGAGAGCTGTGAATTGTTCTCCAAACAAACAAGCTGCAGAATTGTAAAAATGTTTAGAAAAATATAGCATTTTTTTGGAAGAAATTACTCTGCACCACAGTCCACTAAATGCACTAAATTCACCAACATCAGCGATCTAGACATAACTCTGGGCCACTAATAAAAACGATGCAAATGGCAGATCTTCTCTGGCGGACTTTAAAACTGTTTCTTGTTAGTTGAATGTTGTTATTCATAACTGAGACATACATGATGGCGAGCTGTTTATCTTGTTAAGATCCAAAGAGAGCCCCATTTTCTTGTTTGGTGGATTTTTGCAAAAGTTGAAGTTTTTGATTAAAGTGGCTTTCTTCATTCAATAACCTACCGGAACATGTTATCGCACCTAACGTACAGTTACTTCAACATATATTTTTTGAAAATTAACGTACCTCCTCTAGAAGGAAGAGGGATCATGCTGTATGTTAAGTATGTGAAGCTAAAAACACTTTCGTTAANGGGGATCATGCTGTGTGTTAAGTATATGAAGCTAAAAACACTTTCGTTAAATAGGATTAAAATTACCAACAATTAAATCGCATTATTGTTTTTCATTTTTCATAGCTCCCAAGGCACAAGGCAAGAAAACAACAATAACATCTAGTGACAGAGCAGCTGTATTCCTTGAACTCGCTGATGCTCACATGGAAGCTGGACAGTTGGTAAATTAGGATTATTTAATGCTCACACCGTTTTTTACCCTGGTGAAAGTTGATCAATCCTGGAAGATCTTTGAGGATATTCTTCAGAAACTATAATTTTTAAAGATTTTGAGAGATCCTGCATGATGTGACACATATTCTTGATGTTCCTGCAAGGATCTTGCAACAATCCTGAGAGACAATTTATTGTAAGATCCTGATAAAATCCTTGCAAAGATCTTAACAAGGATTTTTGCTGACAAGTTTGGGAAATCCTTACTATATCAAGGATCTTTGGCAAGTCTTTGAAGAGCTTTCAAGGTCGTCAATGATTTTGCACACTCATCAGGGTAATTCACTCTGTCGCCGTTCATGATGTTGGTCACTACTAAGAACAGGCCACATTGCTTTCCCCTTCTCAAACTAATTAACAATTCAGGAAGGAAGGAAATCATAACCATAGATTTTTACTCATGACAGTGTTTGACAACATTTTCAAACACCTTGAAGTTCGTCAAAAATACTCCTCTACGTGTCGTATGGAAATGTGGTCAAACACGGTCTTTTGGTCTTTCGTGATATATTACATGAAATATTCAATAAATTGGTTTCTTATTTTGCAGCACGAGGCTACCAAAGTTATGCAGGATGCCTTGCATGAGTTCGGTGGCACGCCTGAAGAAGTCAGGTTAGTAGTGTTACGCAAGCACCTCACCCCTCACTTCTAATTCTGATTGCTTCTTAGTTTGCATGACTGACCAATCCTTAGAGTAGAACTGGTTGCAGTTATTTGACTTAAAGGCGCTATGCCAGTTATAACGTATCTTGAAAACTTTAGTTTTACTTTCTCTAGGAGGGTGGTTCATAATCTTAACTAGAACTATGTGGTCGATGATGGTTCATTATCACCTCTGGTATTTTTCTTCAGTACTTTCCTAATCTCGCCATGTCATAAGGTACATACGCTCAGACATTCTCCTCCCATCCACTTCGATTTATACTGACCAGGGTTCTTACAGAGTCCCATGACTTTTTCTTCCCCAGAAACTTTTCCTCATTAGGAAAATTTGTAATTCTCAAACTCATTAACAATTCATCAAGTTTAAATAAAGGAAGTCATGGCCGTGACGGTGTGTGGATATCTGATCTTAATTTACGATTTTATTTCTCCGTTTTCTCCTTAGTTTTAGCATCGATTGAGAAGATATATCAAACACTCAAGACAGTGTTTGGCCACATTTCCAAACACCTCAAGGTTCGTCAAAAATACTGCGCCGCGCGTCGTTTGTTCAACTCTCTTCTTGGTGTGTTTGGAAATGTGGTCAAACTCGGTCTTTCGTGTTTGATCTATTACTTATAAGATGCCCCTCAGTATGAGTACAACATGTGAATAAAGTGATAATATGCTGCAACTCACTGTCATTTGACCGTGTCATCAGGGTTCAGATTTCCAATGCAGACCTGGTGTTAAAGAACGGTGACACGGAGCAAGCCTTGACTATACTCAGGCAAATTACTCCAGAACAAAGGTTTGTACGTTGTGCTTTAAATTTTTCTCGTGTTTCGAAATTTTTAAATTAGTCAGATTTGTATTTTGGTTTCTTTCTCGTCATGATTTTAATACTGAACAAGTGAAAATGAGGATCAAACTAGCGTAATTACACCAGAAACAAGAATTAAACAGAGTGACCTGTTTTCAGAACGTATTCTTTATTTTCAACTGGTCGTGAGCCATATATGTAGTAGAAGTAAACACAAGTATGACCTAACTAGTAGCAGTGCTCATTAATTACACTCATACATGTAGCTGGAGTGTTCGACAAAGGTTGTGTGCTCATTTGGTGGTTTTCGTAAACTTGAAAAAGTTTGTTTGTTTGGAACTTTGACATCAAGGTTATCGAGTAGCTCCACGCAAATCGTTGGAAAGTCGGGGGTAGAAGGAAATAGGGTCATTTGTTTTGAATTGGGTGACAAGGCATTGTTTAATTCGCTTCCTGACTTATCGATCGAGCGATTGATTGATTGATTGATTGACAGTTATTACATCAAGGCTAAAGAAAAGATGGCAGAGATCTATTTACATCATCGTAAGGACAAGCGGTTGTATGCCAGCGTTTACAGGTGAGGTCCTAATCGGAAAGTTAAGGCAGGAATCATCATGAACTAAAACAGTCCATCGCAATTGTATCTATTTTTGTTTTGTCGAAAGTCGACATCATCAATGCCGAGTTGTTGAACATTTTGTTACTATAGAGCAACCTACAAGCATGTTTGTCAAGAGCCAGCCGGACCTATATAGTCTGCCTTTACACTGAAAAGAAAAAATGGAAACAAAGAAGATATTCCAATTACTCTAAGTGCACTAGCAGTGAGCGAGAGTTATTCTTGAATTTCTTTCCTGCAGAGAACTAGTCGACAAAAATCCAAACTCTCACACGTGTTTGCTGTTGGGAGATGCATACATGAGTATACAGGAGGTGAGTGTTTGTTCTTCGCTTAACAGTAGCCTTCCCAGACGATGCCGTATTTCAAAGAATTTGTGCTTCAGAAAGTCTAGGGAAGGAAAGTGACGTCTTTGGCAGCCCTTCATTCAAAAAAGCCGAAACTTTTCCGTATCTTACATCCAGAAGGAAAGCTCTCAGAATCTTAATTCAAGGAATCTGAGTTTGTGATATTTACTGATTTGTTTGTTTGTTTGTTTGTTTGTTTGTTTGTTTGTTTGCTGAATCAAGCCTGAGAAAGCAATTGAAGTGTATGAGACAGCTCTGAAGCGAAATCCAAGAGATGGAGCACTAGCGAGCAAAATAGGCCAAGCGCTGGTCAAGACACACCATTACGGCAAGGTTGGTGCTTCTGGCTTGTTTGACAATAATTCGTCAAGATTGGGTCTGCACAAAGTGCGAACCCGCGAGTCATGCGAGCCAACATGCAAGCCATTCCGGTAAGCCCTAAATAACATTCTGGTTAGCCTAAATAGAAGCTGGTTCCTGGTTAACCTAAAAAGCTCTCCCCGCCTCCCCGCTTCCCCCCACCACCACCTCTCCCAAGAAAGTTGGCTTTGTTAACTTGCGGTCAGTTCAGGTAGCTTGTGGCTAGTTGGGATTACTGGCTTGCATGGCTCGCTTGCCTGTTAGCCCTAATAACACTCCTGTTAGCCTAACTAGCACTCCGTTTAGCCTAAATAGCACTCTGGTTAGCCTAAGTTAGCTTGATTAGCTTGTGGTTAGCCTTTTTATTAGGTTATGGATCCTAGCTCGCATGCCTTTTAATACCTCGCTGACTCGCATATTAGTAACACTCGTGAAGATTTCCCAGTTGTTGTTGACGTTCTTTCTTTGCTAAATACTGAGGTCTTTCATTTCGTTTTGCAGGCCATCAACTATTATGAAGCTGCCTTGAAAACAGGACAGCAGAACTTTTTAAGGTTGGTTTACCTTTTGACTACGATGCGTAACTTAATAAGTTGCCTTCTAAAAAGTGTTTCTATTGTCAGGTACGACTTGGCTGAGCTGTATCTTAAGCTAAAGAACTACGAAAAGTCAGACAAGGTTATCAAGTCAGCTCTGGAACAAGAAAAAGGTGCGATCTCTATTTTATGTTGTGTTGCCGTATTGCGCCATATCGTTACATAATTGAAAAACCCTCTGGTATAAAAAACGCATGAAAGGTTGATACTACTTGTAGCTAATAAACTTAAAGTTCAAGTTTATTAAAGAATGGACGGGAAGGTTGGCATAAAGTTTGTTAACTATACAAAGTTCGTTCTATCCAGTGAAAGTTATTACTGATCAGAATTTTATTTGAGCGGTTTTCAATTGAGTATTGTAAACCCAAAACCAATGGACAGAGACAATACAGTGAAATAATCAAACACGTAGCTGACGCAGAGCGCGGAGAAGCACTTACGTGCAAGCCTCGTAGGTNATTGGGCCTTGATCAAACATCAAGCGTTGCTTACAATTCAGGCGAAACTCAAACTTGCATTTTTTTTTTTTTTTTTTTTTGAGCCAGTCACTTAGCGAGTGTCAAATCGGATACTCAAGTGAAAACCATGCTAACTTATCCCGTTTTTGTTTAATTTACACGCTGATATCTAATTTATTTCTTCTAATAGTAGCATTTACATCGTAAAACCTCTTGTCTGACTCCTTTCATTTCTTTTTCTCTTCAGCTAATGACCTTCCATCTTTGATGGAAGAAGCGCGGCTTTTGGAGCTTCAAGCCCGTGTTTATCAAAAGTCTGGCAATGTCGAAGAAACCCTGAAGACCCTAACTCGAGCCAAGGAGGTTCAAACCAGGTCAATCGCCGCTAATATAATATGTCGCATTATTCTCGCATTTTGATTTGTTCTTACTTATAATCTGTTAGAGGACCGTCGTATGTATGACGTCATTAACACTTTTGTGTTACTTTATTATTAAAAAAAACAGATAAATTCCATGTTGCCGTGCGTCTGTTCACTAATAGATCACAGATGACGTCAAAATGTGGTAAGAACATCAGTGACACACTTGGCTGTCGCCTCGTGTGCCACTTTTTTTGCCCTTGCCACATTTTGACGTCATCTGTCATCTATTACTCAACAGACGCACGGCAACATGGAATGTATTTGNATCGACCTACAATCCCGGACAAAAATAGTGGGGACAGTTGAGCTGGATCACATGTCCCCCACCCCCACCCCACCCCCCAAATCAATGTTGGAAAATGTTGCGGTTTTTTTCCGACAAAAAGGGAAAGAATCACCTGATTATCAACGTTGTTAATGGGGAAAGGGGGAAACTTGCTTAGTGTCCCAACTTTTTTGTCTGAGATTGTAGGATCGCACACGTGCTTTTTGATTTAAAGTCAGTGAAGGAGACAAGTGATGTTTAGGGCGCGCGGGGGGGCGGGGAGGGTTGAATTGTCGTCATTCTGTTGACGTTTTCTTAGCATTGTCCAATAATTGAAATCCGAACGTTGGCTTGTCACAAGTGTAGTTCATGCTCTGTTAAATCTCGATCTGGAGACGAGGTTGCAAGAAAAGAGCTTTACCTCCTTGACGAGCATACTGTTTCGTTTCATTTTTCTCCTGTCTGTTTATCCTCCATCAGTGGCTTCTAAATTTCAAAGCCTAATGCTGAAGATTAGATCAAGAGATGTCGCATTGAAATGCTGTATTGTCAACAAGAGCGACTCGCTTGTTATTGGGATATCTTGTGATTTTCTGTTCAGTTAATATTTTATTACCCATATGTTCGTACAACTCTAGCTTAACACAGATTTTTATTTTGTTTGTCTGTCTGATTTGTAGCCAAGCCTATCTGTATGTTGTTCTGTTTATTTTAACAGTCCATGTTGGCTCTGGCCAGGCTGTATTTAACAGTGGATGATCTGGATTCCTGTCAGCAACAATGTGTCCAACTTCTCAAAATGGACTCGGAGAATGACGCCGCCACTGTTGTGAGTACATCCATTGACGTGCCTTATGCCTGTCTTTTTCCAGGCTCATTTTTTGCGCATGGCAATCAAATCAATACAGCAACTATTTGACACCAGAGATTGCTGTCAGTGCACCTTTGGTCATACAAAACAAAACCTTTATATCAAGTCAGGTCCAGTTAAGTACCCGCCTTTTTTACCCAACGTCTCACGGTCGTTCATGTTCACGTTCACGTTCACGTTCACGGTCGTACAAAAGATATTGTTGCAAAATATTAATACCTAATCGTGCCTTTCTGGTGCGCTTAGGCAGCATTTAAGGCGAGTGTTGATATCGTAGCCATATTAGGTCAGTGACATGATATCGCAGGATATCAGCACAACAGGCACGACTTCTGATTGGCTGATACGTAATTAAAGGTGGACCTTCACTGTTTGCTTCATGCCAAGTGGCACTTAAGGTCTCAAGCAAGACTAGGGAAATAAACGGATACACTTCCTCTTATAATTCCAGTACGTCTCTTCAGTAGTTGTAACAGTTTTTCTGTTTGGTTTTCAGATGATGGCTGATTTAATGTTCAGGAAAAATGAATACGATTCTGCCACTTTTCATTTCCAGCAATTGCTGGAGAGAAAGCCAGGTATTGTTTCTGTTGAGATACTTCACCCCTGTACCTTCTATACTGTAATGCAAAGAAGCAGTTGATAGTCGCACAGCGTATGGAGATCATAATGTTTGTCTCAATTGATCATGTCTAGCTTACAAGTCCGTTAAGAATGATCATCTTTTGTACAACATTATTAAAATGTTATACAGAAAGATGACAGGACTGATTGAAATCATGGATGAGTGGATATTATCTCGATTTTCCATGAAATTCTTAAACCTAACAGTGAAAGAACAGGAGGTCAATGTGGAGGGTAATGACATCTCGGGCGGGGAGGTCCCTTCCTTCCCTCATTCTCCTTCTCCTCCTTCACCAAGATAACATGGCGTCAGGATATTATGAGCACCTCACTTCATTTCAATCTGCTAAGAACCTGAGGTCTTTCTCCAGTATGTCGGCTGCCTCTCCGATGTTTCACACCAGAACTTTCAGGTTTTCATTATTTAAGAACAGCTCAAACAGGAAACTGGAACATGACAAGAGAGCAGTTAATGCACGACCGCAGACCGGAAATTGTTTTCCAAACTTGCCTTCTTGATTTCAGATCATTACAGCGCTCTGGCCCGCCTTATCAATCTTCTCAGAAGAGCAGGGAAACTGGAAGAGTGTTCCAAATACCTCGAACAGGTTTGTGTTGAATATTTTTTTTCTTTTCTTTTTTGTAATTCTTGAGACAACCACCCAAAGTATTTCCCTTCAGCGATATCTTTAATACTTGAAAATCACTTATTTTTCGTCCAGGCTGAAAGTGCTATACCACGTGCAGCAATGGATTCTGGGTTAAATTATTGCAAAGGACTCTTTCACTGGTAAGATTATGTAGAGTTAGATGTCGTGTTTCAGTCAGTATCTTCTGTTCTAGGATAGGCCGAGCCCGCAGTTTGAATCGGTTACGATGTTGCTAAGTGACATGACATACTCGATGACGTCAAGCTATGATGACAACTTTCGGGCTCTCGTCTTAATTTTTTATTGGCTAATGAGAAGCAGAAGCTATATTATCTTTTTATCGACACGGTTCTTACAATCTTACTCTGTCGCTATATTTTTCATTTACACTGGTAAGTTGGTTTGTGAAAATGGGCTAAACCATTGACCTCTGTTTGTATTTACTTGTAATGGATGTCACTAAAAGGGTCGGTGAACAACTGTAACTTCTTGGCAAAGCTTATCAGATTGCAAACAACTATTCCTTAAAGTTTATCATCATGGAAAGATCTGAATAAAAGGACTGTTTGAGTGTAAACCCTTTTTGATAACAAACAAGACAACTTCTTCCCCTAGTGTTGGTTAGTTTTGAGTCTTACAGATTTGTGTGTTCTGATTTAGGTACACCGTAAATCCCACGGCAGCCCTTAAACATTTCAATCTATCAAGGAAAGACTCTATGTGGTAAGGAATAACTGTTTGTTGAAGTGCGGTTTGATGTTGTTGTTTATAGTGGTCAATGCGCTTAGCTACACCTAGCTAGTTCTCAGGCATTCCACTTAAACTGAAAGAAACAAATATATCAACTAAACATAACAGGCTTAAAAATCCCAACTGGCGGGACGCAGACCAGTTGGCTGTTTACAAGCATGACCGAGGAGTTGAACTAGGGTCTACCTAGAAACAACTCCAGCTTGGTGGTCAGAGCGGGACTTGAACCCGCGACCTCCGGATTTCAAGTCCGGCGCCCTAACCACTCGGCCACGCTGCCTCCTAAAAAACATCTGTTCTCAGTTTTCTTTGACGTAATAACTTTTTATAAGCGTGGGCATGCAGTTTAACTCACTAGCCAACTGATCGACCGACCGATCACTCGTCCATCCGACTTTAATGCGTCCCCCAAAACAATCGTCTGTCCTTCCCACCGTCAGTCCTTAGAGTTAACCGGCTAACTTACAGACCGACCAGACAGACGGACGGACAGATGGACAGACGGACGGACGGACGGACGGACAGACAGACAGACAGAAAAACAGGTAGACGCACGGATTAATGTATTGATTGAATGAAAATGAACTAAAATCGCTCGAGGGATCGTTTTGTTACAGGGATTAAAACCCATTACCAATTCACGCGCATAGCCTCATCCACAAACTCATCAATTAACCCGTATACCTCTTCTATTCTCACCTGTCTACCTTTACTATTTTAATTTGATACTTACCTAATTTAAGACATGATCTATCTACAACACATAGAAATATATATATTGTTTTCATCAGGGGCGAGTATGCTGTGTACAACATGATCGAAATATGCCTCAACCCAGATAACGAGACATTGGGCGGAGAAACGTTTGAGGCGGTGGATGGCGATGTTAGGTAAATATAAGAAGTCTTTCCTGCTTGGAAGAGATCACTGATGATTGTATTCAGTTTGTTCCACCCCCAATGCCTCCCCTCAAACCTACACTTCGATTAGCTACAAAACATTTTCGATCACAAACAGAGTATAGTCCTTAACGCTACCTAAGCGAGAAGATAAACACGGTCATTGTAAGGGGGGAGGGGGAAGCGGGCGAGTGTGGATTTAAAACCCGTCTTGAGAGTTATGCCGAGAATTGTGTATGAATGTATATGAACGTGACAACATTGGTTGGTAGTTATTTTCGAGCTTTTTCACCTAACCTGTCACTTTAAATTTCTTTGCATAGTCAAAACGAGAAACAGGATTCAGAAATGATGGCTGTACGCACTGCTGACAAACTTCTTAAGGTAAAAGTATTTTTTGCTTGTGTTGTTTTTCCAATTGGTCCCATTTCTTTTTTTTTTTTTACGATATATCCATTGGAACAGTCAGCTAACAACAAGCTATGTTGCTTTAAATTGGCTTAATTACATATTGTTTCGTAAAATACTTGAGCATTTAGCTGCAATGAGTTGCATTACTTCTGGGGTTTTGGTTTTTGGACCAAAAAGAGCTTTCAATCACATCCTGAATACGTTTTGTGACAGTTCTTAAGAGCTTTGATCCTTCAGTTAGTGACGGTGCATGCTGTTGTTTCCTGCTCAACACTGTGTGTGAATTGTGTTTTCACAGGACTTCAAGCCCAAGGGGAGTCCCCTTAAGTACCGCATACTGGAGAATAGTGTTCTGATGGCCTTCAAGACAAAACCCAATGTGGAGAAAGCCTTGTCACAATTCATGGAAATTGCTACCACAGAGGTATTTCACATGAGACTACGCTTCAGTTGTGGACTTTAAAATGACCTAGTGACAGAGATCTGCTCTGTTACAAACAATGCCTAGAGACGGGACTCTCACCCACGGCCTTATGTAGCCCTCTGTATGGTAATTTTTGGTAGCTGTTATCCAGATTCATATTGTCAACTGATGTTGAAAGTTCTATTTATTGCTCACGGAGCTTTTTCCTGGCATCACAACAACAGCATTTATTTGTACTACACGAAAAAAGACATGGTTTCATAGAAAATACATCAAACTTGCTTTCAAGAAATAAGAAACTTTATCGAGTGAAGTGTAACTATCGAGCTATGCAATCACGAGTGGAAGTTTGGGAAAACGAAAACTGAAGTGTTTTGGGTGCTTGTTTACATAGTTTTGTCGAGTTCTCCCAAACTTTCATAATGAACAAATAGAGGTTTATCCCTGATCAGCATTCACCTTAGTCGTTACGTTTTGACAGCATCAACTTATCATAGCGTTCTCTCCTTAGCATGACTGTGTTCCAGCTCTTCTGGGCATGGCAACTGCGTACATGTACTTAAAGCAAACACCGCGGGCTCGTAATCAGCTCAAAAGAATCGCCAAGATGAACTGGAACTCAGAGGTAAAGTATAATTCACTGTCCCATTACTTTCACTTAAACCCTGATAAGCCCGGTGTTCACTGGCGATACAAGCATAAAAGAAAGCACAAGAGTACTTTCACACACTGAGAAACAAAAGCTTAAAGAAGGATCAAAATACTTTCATCTTTCCCTTTTGCTTAAGACTGTTATAAATTCACGAAATGGTCCCTTAATTTATGTAATAAGAACTTAATTAGCTCTAAATAAATGATTAAAAGCAATTTCTTGAAGACAGTCCACACTGCAGCTACATTTTTGCACATTTTCAACGATTTTCGAGCCAAACTTGAACCTTTGAAAAACTGACATCCTGAGGCTTTTTCAAAAATCCATATCATAATCCGTTTCCATCCTCGCCATCGTTAGCCATCCTCACTTCTTAATGGGTGGTAATCATTTGCCGAGTACTCCTCTACGAAATAAAACTATTATTGTTCAGCTTCCAAAGATCGATGTATGTTTTTTAGATTTCCAGAATCATGCTAAAAATTGTGATAGTCTCCCTTTAAAAGCTTACTTTTCTCATGGTTTGCATGGACTGTTGTGCTTTCGTGGCTTTTGTAAACCAAGTTTTATAGATGATCATACAATTATTGCTTTCTGCCGTAGGTAGTGTTTTAATAGAGACATATACGCTGGTTTTGCCTGTACTGAACTCTGCAGCATGAGAAAATTTTTTTTTTGCCAGTTGGTTTACTTACTGTTCTCGTTGTAAAGCAAAAAGGAATGTGGTAACTACAATTTGTGCTTAGGAGATCGAGTCAGTGTTTCTAACGGTAAGAGACCGTTGCAATCACTACATATTCCTCCGCGATTATTGCACTTCTTGCTCTCTGATTGGTTCGTCTGTCAGGGTGTTAGGTTATCATGCCCGTTTTGACATTTGTCATCTCTTATCCAACATGAGCTTGTGGAGTATTCCTTAAACAGTGGTTAACTAATGGAAGATTCACGTATCAGTCTCCATGTCTTCACTCATTCGTTTTATTTGTTGTTTGGTTTTCATTTTATTTTTTTCTTTTCTTTTATTTTCAGGAAGCAGAGGAATTCGAGAGAAGCTGGCTTCTACTTGCCGATATTTATATTCAGGTATGTTATAATCTGAAACTTATCACAATAATGAAGTCAACTCTAATGAAGATATCTGAATATGAATAAGAGGACGTTGCTTGAGGGATCTGAGCTCGCTAAACTCGCCTGGCTTGGGAAAGGTACCAGAATTCCGATCTAGGAAGGTTGGTTTAACTCCTCTTGATCACCCTCTTTCAAAACTGCCTACAGTGCAGGAGAGAACTCACACGATGGTTTACACCAATCAAGAATGTGGGAACTATAGCATCTTCGTGGGAAACTGTTCATGTTGAAGCTCACATGATCATTTTGTTTGCCGGTGACAGCATTGTTGTTCTTTTGTTACGCAAGTCTTGGGTATCTTTAAGCCTTATTGGCTTTCCTGGGCTTCCTTGCCTTATAGGTTGATATATTGTAAATGTATTTATAAAGGGCAAAAATAAAACAAACAGACAAACAGACAAACAAACAAACAAACACATAAACTAAGCCAGGTTATGAGAAATTCTCAAACGTGTAACTGCTAGCTGTCTGGAAAAAAGATCAGCGTCAGTCGTGTATTATTATCAACGGGATTGACTTACATTGCATAGACTGATTAATAGCTTAGCCCCAAAAGGAGTTTACTTTTCTTTTTATTGTATGTTTTGGACAATCTGTTTTAACATGATCTAAATTAGTCGCTTTGAATGTTGAAAACGAATCTGACTGATTTTGTTGTTCCGTTGTACAATAATCTCTGTGTCGCTGTAATTCTCATAAAATCGTAAACCATTCTGATATGTTCTGTTTTAATAATGCATTTATCTTTCTCCTCTTCAATGAAATACAAACGTATAATGTTTTCCATAACGTTTAATTGGTCGTTTTGTTACTTGTAGTCTGGCAAGTTTGATATGGCTGGAGATTTGTTAAAGAAATGTCTCCAATATAATAAGGTGAGAATATAATCATAGGATTTTGAAGACAGTGGTAACAATTCCAATGTTCAAAGTTTCGTTTTAACTGATTTAGTACAACTGCAAGGATCGCATTTTCTTTCTTTAATTCCCTTTAAATCAACAAAACAAAATAAAGTACGTGTTACAATTGAGTTCTCTCAGTGTAAGTTTTTATTTGGAAAAACCGATCAAATGCCATTCATCCTTATTGTTTCAATGCGTTATCATTTCGATAGTTTCTGAGAATAAAGAAGATCGTCAACTATTGACTGTACAAGGGAGCTTAAGCAATGACGACGGCGACCCCGAGGACAACGCCTAGTAAAACATGAATTTATATTTTACCATTTCGCAAATGTCTAGATCTGGTCAGTGTGCCTATTTGTCTCGGAATTTGCTCGAGCTAAATATGTAACGCCAGCGTTCAGATCCAAATAAAAAGACGAACAATTAGCCGCAGTCGTTTGCAACCTCGTTCCCAGGGTCTCTCATCTTACCGCCCTCTGGAAGATGAGAGACCCAGGGAACGAGGTTGAGTCGTTCGCGTTCTCCAAAATACGCAGAACTTAGTAATTTCACGTTGTTGTTTTTCCGATGACGGCTACGAAATGTACAAAGATTTATAACGCACCTGCCTAGCCATTGTTCTGCTCATTAATTCTTTTGTTTTCTGGCGTTTTCGCTGCCGTTGCTGTCGTGGTTTGCTTAAGTTCCCTATACCACCAATTCGAACTAATATCACAAGAACTATAGAAGTAGCAATTATTAAGAAGAATTACGTCACGCCAAACCAGTCCACGAACATACTGATAAATTGAAAACTTTTCCAAGAAATTTTTACCTCTCTGAAAAGAAGGCTTGTGGTAACCCAATTCACTGCTGCAATCTGTTTTATGAGTTGTATTTTGTTTGCAGTCCTGTTGTAAAGCTTGGGAGTACATGGGTTATATCATGGAAAAGGAACAAGCTTACAAAGATGCCGCCAAGAACTACGAGAATGCTTGGATATATGGAAACCAAAACAACCCAACTATTGGTAAAATAATGTCATGAAATGAAGCTCAGTACTTTGTAGGGATTTCCTTTACTGGGAAAAATCATATGGGAAACGTCTCGAAAATGCAATACTTTCGGTGATTTTTTAAAGTGTTTATGTTTACAAAGTTGTTTGGCCATTTTAATGGCTAATGAAGTAGTGCAAATCATCACCATCTTTCTCCGTGTTCTTCGGAATTTTGTGTCAGTCTTCGAGAAGACCTCGTAAAATTGTCTCCGACAGAATTTCTTTATTACTCACACAGGTTACAGACTGGCGTTTAACTATCTCAAAGCAAAACGTCTTGTAGACGCGATTGACGTTTGTCACAAGGTACATATCATTTGATCTCTTTCTGTATTGATGACTGATGCATAAATACGACTGACAGCAGGGTCATGTCCTTCTTGGGTCAAGGTCAACTCTCATGCCCTTGAAGGTGGTACAACTGACGTCCCCCTAGGAGGTAGGCAACACTTACCCCTACGGCGTAGGGCTACTCTTACACTCCCTGCAGCCTTAGAGTGTAAGGTTAATCCCCGTACCTCTGGGCGTGAGATAAATTCTCATACCCCTAGGTTTCGGGAATAAGTCGTATATCCTAACAGATGGGGGCAAGTGTCATACTATGATGACACTTACATGACGGTAAACGGCGAATTTGAACTTGAAGCTTGTTGAAGTACAGTACTGACTTACCACTGACTGCCTACAAGTGAAGTTGCGCTTTTTTTGTCAAATTTTGATAAGATTTGCGTGTTTATTTTAGGTTTTAAATCACCATCCAAACTATCCAAAGATCAGAAAAGAAATCTTGGACAAAGCACGAGCAGCGTTACGGGCATGACATTTTGCCATACACAACTGACCCAATGTCACAAAACTGCGGGCGCAATCGGTTTGGTCCGTGTGACCGTTAAACAGTTATAAACTGTGGTGGAAGTAGCTTTACTCAAGGGTTTGTAAATAAGCGAATGTCTTGCTGCAACTTAATGTAAAGTGCTCGCCATTTAAAGACTTGAAATAGATTGCTGGCGTTGTAAATAACCATTAAATTATTAAACAGTAACTTGCTGGTCGTCTACGGTAATCACATGATTACAATTTTCACAGATGGTATTGCAGAGGATTGGTACCGATCTAGGGGTCGCTCCCTTCGTTCAAAGGGACAAAAATAATGTTATAAGCAAGTGAAGGAGTGCGTGATACTACCATTTTATTAATATGACTATTACTTGGAATAAGACTAACGCTACCCGGGGGAGCTTACATCTGCGGGAGGAGCATATGAAAGTCACAGAAGTACCAGGAGTACTATTGACCAAATTTGAACGAGTCGAGTGCAATAGCCCTTTTCACGGTTACGTTTGCTCATTAGCATTACAATAAAATCGAGCATGTATGTGAGGCAATTTCGGGCTATTTTGTAGTTTTAGCCCGAAGTTGGATTACACGTTGGATTACATTGTAATGCAAATGAGAAAAATTAGCCGTCAAAAGGGCTATTCTGGCAACAAACAAGCAAAATAAAAGCAACTTCTGGTTTTGGCCTCGTTTCCGTGTCGCATCAAAGCCATGTTCCCGTAATCGTGGATCCTTTGGGACTTTTAGTATGTTGATCTAGAGACTATTCCTAAGTAATTAGCGAAGAAAAAAGTTGAATTCCAATTAATGGTAGGTCCAGCCACAAAATGACTGGACTAATACGAGTACTCTCCTAAGTGACGGTGTTTAAGGTGGCTCCTTAGGGTAATCGTTTATGGCGTTGCGCGCGCAAGTATTATGTTTTGAATGCTGTTTTTGCATTCGCTTTCACACCCAGTCCTTTCAAACTTATTACATGTAATAACGAATGATTAAATAGTGTTTTACTATCATCTCTGTTAAAATTTTGGGCTTTAATCCTGAATTATAAATGCCCAAACAAATGTGTTTTTTAGTGTGTGTGTGTGGCTTTATTTGTGATTTTCTTGAATTTTCTTCGGTGAAATATTCCAAAATTTTTACAACACATCGCTTCCAGCGGGATACGAATTTTAAACACGACAAAAGTAAGGCAATTTTTTCGATGTTTTCAAATTTATGTCTTTTACCGCTGCAATAAGTCTGGTCTTATAGATTCCCTGAAAAACGAGCTCTGACTAAAGTAATATAATTACTACCAATCTGCCAAATTTTACGGAATTTCACCACAGGAAACGCGAGAAAATTCACTGTCAGTTTTGCTTTTTGGGCTCATGTTGACGTCCGAAAATATCCAAAAACACTGATGTTTTCCTTCAAGCGCGCGCAGGTTACTTGAGCTTTCGTCCTCAGCGCGAGTGCGATCGTAAAACTATAGGGAGCCACCTTAAATCCCGATCTTGACACAGTCACTTGTATATCGCTGTACTCTTCCCAGCAGTACTATGGCTTCGGTTTAGTTCGCGACTGAGCAGATAAGCTAAAGATTTGGCAGGACGACTCACATGCACCGTCTACTCTCACTTCTACCGAAGGAAATTAAAGACTGGCAATACCTTTTGAATCACGTAAAATGTACCAGACCTACATCTCCAATCATTGGGATTTTGCTTCCAGCTACGAGGACCAAGGAGTTCTAGGATACATGAGCTTTGGTTTCTTAAACAGGAAATAGTAGTTATCATGGTATATAGGTGTCGAAACTTTAGTGGAAGTTTAGGAGAACTACAACCAACAACATAAGTTCTTAAAAATGACGCTTTTCGATTTTTAAACCCTTATTCTATTTCATTTGCATCTTGCGTTAATTCTGTGATACCCCCGGCTCCCCCAACCCAATGCTGTGAAGGTGCTGTGGTCTATTCAGTCTTAGAAGTAGAAAAGTCAACAATTGTTTGGGGAAGAAGGGGGTAAGTGTTTCCAAAACGCTCGAAAATCGAATTTCACTGTGAAGTGTCTCGACACTTTTGTCGCTCATTGTAGAAACGTGGAAATTTTCGTTTTCTTCAAGGGCACTACGGAGGACTTATATCAAAACAAACTGGAGCAACAGCATGTGAATAATAACCATAACTCAAAGTTGATAGCACAAGTTGCAAGAATACACCAAAAACATTAATGAATATTACAAACCAACAACACAAGCGTAGAAACTTGTAGGGAACCGAGGGAAAAGCACTGCACAAACCCGATATTTGTGAGCAAAGCACGCATAACAAAATCAGTACTGAATAGTACAAAGCAAAATACAAGCGAGCAAACTTTACGGGAACCGAGGGAATACGTGAGGGAATAGCACTGCACAAGCCCGACGCGAGTGAGGCAAGGCACGCATAACAAAAGTGTTACTTTATATTAGAAATCCAAGACTGAACAAGTGTGAAAACTTAAAGAGAGGCCAAGGGAAAAGCACTGATTGTACAAACCAAGAACACAAGCCTACAAACAAAGGGAGCCGAGGGAAATACACTGCACAAACCCAGAGTTTATGAGGTAAAGCACGCACAACATAAATATCTTCACTGAATAGTAGAAACCAAGAACACAAAAGTGCAAACTTGAAGGGAGCCGAAGGAAGAGCACTGCACAAACCCAGTGTTGTGACGTAGAGCACACAGAATTATAAACATAAAAAGGGCGTAAGGGAATTAAGGCAAAACCGTGGACAAAAGCCAGGCAACGAAACTGTTGCAGAAACAAGCTCGTAAACGACTAAAACCAAAAAAAAAAAAAAAGAAAGAAACAGTAAGGGTGCAGGATTTGGGTCTCCATATAACGGTCTCCATGTCATGGCTGTGCGCGCTTGGTCCGTTTGAAGGAATCAGGATCTGTGCAAGCAGCATGGACGAGAACTTGTTCACCCGACATGGGGTACAACACATGAGGTTACGAAGCGAAGGATTCTTACGCGAACTGGACTTCAGAGCGGAAAAACGTGATAAGCATGCGCGAGGTTTGGCCGCTACCATTTCCAAGTTTGAAAAATTGGCGGGAATTTCGTCGATCGTGTAAACCAAAAAACGTTACGAACTTTATCTGCTTTCCCAATTTTCCCGGTAAGCAGCAACATTTTAACGTCAGTAATGGAAAGCTGGTGTATTGTTTTCGTGCGGAATCATTTTTTTCCGGACAAAATTAACACAAAGAAGGTTTCTGAACGCTTTCTCCACGGTATACTGACAAGGCATTTCTGTGCGAAGACACATTTTTCCACAAGCCCTCTCATGCATATTGCATCCATATAGGAGCATGTGTTAGGAACATGTGGCGAGAAGAGTAGGAAAAAAACTAGAGCGAAAAAACTAACAAGTGTTACCAGGTCGCAAAGATGTACAGCATTAATGTTGATCTTCTGATTAGTATATGTAATAGGACTACATGCTGTCCAATTTGGAAATAATTGGATGAGATAAATTCCGAGGACTGCCAAATTGGTCTCGGCCTACGGCAAGAATTTTTCTCATCCAATTATTTCCAAATTGGTTAGGCATGTAGGCCTGTTACTTATTAATTATATAGCATCCAAAAATAGACGAACAGGGCAAATATCAAGCTTCAAGCTTTCTCACTTCGCTTCGCTCAGCACGTCACAGGTCTTTGTGGTTCTTTGAGAGTTCTTGTTCTGATTATTTTCCGTCATCTCGAGTAAATCAGTAGGATCTATCTCTGGAAACCTAGCTGAAGACTCCATTTGAAAATTTGAGACGTTAAAAAGGTGGAGAAAAAAGTCGGGAAATTCCTCTATCATCAAAACATAATGAAACTTAGCGAGTTGCAATCGCTCGCTGACGTTTAATGGCAGTGATAATAGCTGCAACCCGATTAGCCAATACTCGGTTCTTTTATTTGTCTTGACATTCGATTGGTTGATGGAAAGTATCCAGATTTTTCTCAAATTGGACAGTTTGTTCAAAGCTAAACTAAACGTTCGAGCTACAACTATCCAATTTATTTTAAATTTGGACAGTTGGCAAAAATTAATAAAAAATAGATCTGTTGGCAATATTGGATTTTGATGCAGCTATATAATTATTGGCAAAATGACCCGCTTAAAGCTTTGAAAACTGGAAATAATTGCCTGATGGACCACTAGGCTTGAACGCAGATTTTATGTCGCATGCCTTACCATATTTTGGCAGTTCAAGTCCGAAATTGCCTCGCATCCATTTTGGACTGCATTGACATGAAAATACAAAAGTTATCTTTAACAAAACTATTCACACACAAATAAAAATGGACAAATCTGGATTTGCTGGTAATTCCATTTGTTTAGACTGCGCGCAGTTTCTCTTTTGCTCGAGAACGCAAAGTAGAACCCGAAACAAGTGAGCGGTCGTGAGCGTGCCAGCGTGACATGCGTTCTTCTCCATGGATTTCCGAGCAAGAGAGAGACTGCTCGCAGCCTACCATTTGGTAGAAATGGAACCCAAATTAAATATAATTGTTCACATCCTGGCAATCCAGTTAAAATTATTTGTCTTATGAAATACTTCTCAATCATGGTCATTGTTTCACTGAATGTTTGAAATTGTCAAGAAAGAAATCTTTTAAAAATATTTGACTCACTGGGATAATAGCTTCAGTTTTTTATCGAGCTATAACTCTGAATATTGAACTGAAGACATGGCACAATTCGCACTCTCATGAAATTTGACCCCGATGCATGAAAAATTTCAGTGTGCCGTAGGTTTAAAATTTCCAAATTATTACAAAGAATGTATGTGTTCCTTAATTTTTTTGATACCGAGAAATTTTACAGTTTTAGAAAGCCAAATCTCCTTTATTACATCCAGAGCGGGTGGTTGGTAGTTGGTGGTTGTAGTAGTAATAATGATAATAAAAATATACATATATTACACCCAGAGCCACAGAAAATTCCCCAACTGACTAAGTTTTGTTACAAGCTCTTTAAATGTTTGTAGCAAATTTGTACTTCAGATAATGCTCTTTCTGTTGGATGATGTTTTAATTTCGATCTAAGCGAATTATTCCACCAGGCACATGATAAGATTAGAAAAGCATACAGAGCTTCTTATTCCGTATGTGCGAGCCTTGGCTGGATCTCTCTCTTCAAGCGTTTCATTCCATAATGTAAGCAGTTTTACAGAAATTTAATGTCAGCTTTTAAATAAGATGTGACTGTTTCGTATTTTGGGTAAAAGAAAGCGGAAAAATAATATCAATCGAACTTTGAGGAAAATTTTGTCTTTTAAACTTGCTGGTGAGAGTAGTACAATGTTGCTCCAATGAATAACCGTCAACATGTTCCCATACCACCTTTTTTTATTTCAGTTTTATTCCTTCCTTATTACACAAATTAGCCCAACACCTGAACAATCCATTTAACTTTTAACAAGACCAGCCCAACCATGTTTAGTTTAATAGACACAGCGCCTTTTGTTAGTTATCCAATACTAGCCTATAGGCGCGTTCATTACTCCTACGTAGTCATTCTTTCAAAATTGCAAGCTTCTTCTGTTTACCTATGAAAAGAGAAACATCATGAAGGTGGTTAGAGTGATGATTAACTGTTGATAGGGTTTAAATCTAATCTTCTCTTTCTTTCTTTGGGTAGCTGTTATATACTAGATCATATAGAGGTCACTACAACTCGAACAAAACAGATAGTATCTATTTGTCCCTAGAAACTACTTTTTTCCCTTTTTTGGATAGCACATTCTGCAAGACTGAAATTTGTGTTGTTCTGTCGCTCGCAGACCAGGCGAGAATAAGACTACTTATAACTTAAACGTCATTATTACGCGGACGCAAGCATTTCTAACCAGTAAAACCTGATTATTTGACGGCTTGAGTTTGGGAAAAGTGATTACCTTAGTGCATCAAAGAATTTAGGTAAAACTTTCCCACTTTTGAGGGCGTGTTGAACCTGAACGCTCTCTTGTCACTGAGTTACCTGGTGTAAACAAAGTTGACGGCCTCTCCTCCAACACCACGACCCTGATCATCAGTTTTGCAGTTTGATGAAGCACCATACTTTTTAAAGTCAGCTAGCTCTCCATCTTTGGATGTGACACATCTGTTCACCCCCTATAAACAGAATATTAAAGAGATTAATATACAGGGATGTGAATAAATCGGCCCTACTTTGGCATTAACAATTTGATATTGGTATATCTTCATCGCTTACCACCTAGCTAGACTCCGGCTCATTCCTTGTTTATTCAGACTGTACTCGATCAAGGCATATTTTACAGGAAGCTCAAACAAACTACAAAGGCGACGAATTCGGGTGCGTCGCTAAACAAAAGGTTAAATAGAGGATTTCACAGTAATGCGCATGCGCGCCCTCACTTCGCAGTGTGGAGATTCTCGCAAGGTTTATAGGTAAAATATCAATTTATGCTGTAGTTGATGTTGTCCTCGGCGTCACAAAACTTGCAAAACGGAACGAGATCAGTCTTCCCCAATACGGAACGAAGAAGATAGCAAATAATTCGCTTCTTTTTCTCCTAATTCGTGAGAGGTCCGTTCTGCAAAATACAGACCACTCAGGAAACCAATCAGAATTTCCCCTTGTCATCTTGGACAAGTTTTCTATATGACAAAATAACGTACAAACCGGAGACAAAAAAAGGAATGAAAAACATTTCTGAATTTCTCCTCACTCGAATGGCAAAAATCTTGTAGCCTTTTTGTTCTGCTGCAACTCTGCACATATTGAACACCTTCTCAATGTCTGGGTTTGCAATGTTTATGCCCCTGATCGTTGCAAACTTGATTCCAAAAACTCTTTTCGCTGGCCTCCTGTGATCATTGAAGCATCCCTCAGAATTCCACTTCACTACAACAAAGATACATAAGAGACAGTTATCATTTACAATAAACTGGTAACCTATTCCATGGATTTTCAAGTGTTCATTGGCTAGGATTTGGAAGAGGGATCACAGAAGGTTTAACAAGATTGTTCCCTTACAATTTCCAGACTGCAATACGCCTTCCCTATCAATACCATAACATTTTTTAAACTGCAGTTTGAGCCTAATATTCATGATGTATCCGTCTATAATTTACCTTGGTTCAGTTGGGCTAAGCTGCACATACCGTCAATAACCTCTGAGCTGAGATTTGCATATAGTGATTTCATTTTGGAAAAAAAATGCCAGGGCACATATTTTGTTCCTCAGTTGGTAGCCCGTAATCACAGTTTCCAGTGCTCTCAAAAGTGACAAAAATAAGTTAGTTATAGAGTTGTTGAATATACACGCGACTATCCCACTTGCCCTTCTTGGATACGAGATGACTATGCCAACTCGGCGCTACGCAGCTGGTTTCTTTTTTCTCACCTCGTATGCAACGCGGGCTCATGGAATAATTGTTAATGTAGAGAGCTTCGATTGGTTGCCAAGCCGAGTCTCACTTGGTTTGCTGGCAAATTAACATGGCGACTGGATTTTTGACTGAAATGTCTGTTTATTCTGAAAAATTCAGTCGAGCACTTCCAACGGTTAGCTCGTTATTTTGTAGTTCTTGATATATTTATCTCTGAAAATTATTTTAAAAAAGCTATTCGCTCAAGGCCCAGTGAATTTCTGTGAATATTCCAATCAACCTCTTCCCGAAGGAATTTACACTTCACCTTCAACGAATTATTGCAAAGTACCATTTTCCAAAGATGTGTATTTAAACTCAGTCAGTGCCAAATCGTTCAGTCTATGTTACAAGTAAGTCCTTCTGATGAAGGTGCTCTTTTCCCAATGGACACTAAAAACACTTTAATTTAACAATTCACTACACGAATATATGTTAGTCACTAAGCCTTACCCTCCTGGCATCTTTCTCCTTTGAAACCCTCAATGCAATTACACGTGTAGCTTCCGGGGGGAGAATTAATGCAAGTGCCGCCATTTTCACAAGGCTTATCTTTGCATTCATCAATGTCTGAGAAAAAAAGCATCAGTTTAAATTAATGTTCTGCATGACTTTTAATAGTCAATAACGTGGGTACTAGGGGAAGATAATGCAACACCTCACTTAGCACCATTTGACATTTCTCAGGCATCACATCGACCATTGGATGGCAAAAGTTGTCAGGAAAGAAACCTGATGGAGTTCGTTGCGGTCAGTCAACGTTTCCATGCAGTTGCGTTTTGCCAGGAGAAAAAGAACCTGCAAATCGCTGCAGCAAACTCTGCTCACGTTCGCAAACGAAAAGACACACGGAGGGGCTTGGACACTTTCAATCGACAGAAATGTAAGTTCACGGATGTTTGGACATACTCTAAATTGAAACAAACTTTTGACAATAAGACACCCTCAGTATTTGTTGGTCAATTTGTAGGACTTAAACTCATCATTTGTCCATCCTCGTTCAATCTAAAACATACCTCTAAAGAGCAGCGTCGATGTCCGCAAATCTCGTTAATTTAGACTTCTCACACAAATCTCACTTGCGAAATGTAGATGTGTTGACAACTTTTCAGCTCAATATTGTGCTTTGTTTGGAAACCAGTGCATTTTGAATTTTAGAGTTATGGCAGTGCGTGACATAGAGCTACGATCGCGTTTGTCGAAAAATATACCTTTATTTTGGAGAAGTGTCTTCTTTATTTATCTTCTACAAGATCGCATTTTCTGGACTTCATCCGCGAACGATTTTTGATTTTTTTTTTTTTTTTTTTTTTATTGCGTGAGAGTGAAAACGATCCATTGTTCACACAGACCTGAGTGTAACTTTGTGAAAGAGCGAATCATAAAGATTCCTCTTGTCTGTTTTTCCCTTTTTCAAACGTAGCTTCATTATCGGGTTAAACAGACAACGTCGCTTTTTAATGCAATAAAATTGTATGCAATTATCAATTTCGTTAAAAGAGAGAACAGTTCTGGGTGCAGGGGCGGATCCAGTATTTTTCCTAGGAGGGGGTGCACCACTAAGGAATGGTGTAACTGAGTTTTTTCGCAGAATACCAGTTATATTAGAAAGCCGCATGTCATCTTAAAGGGGGAGGGGCTACGCACCCCCTGCACCCTTTCCTAGATCCGCCCCTCGGGTGATATCTAGCCAGCTCAGTAATCCTACAAAAAAGTAATCATCAGCAGCTATCTGCAGGGCGCGTAATCACCATGAAAAACTAGCCATTTGTATTTACTTACTCGCTAGGGTTTAAATCACTCGCGAATTACGCAATCTAAAGTGAGCCATTGAGAATAAATATATTTGTTATCGGTTAGTCGTGTGTGGTCATGGTTAAATTCTTAAGCGTCTCAAAGCATTCCGTATTCAACTCTCTCTTCTCCCGTGTGTGTTCAACCTCGATATAGCGCGGGGAAGGAGGAGTTCAAGGACTGGACAAACGTTAGCATTGCCTTCCAAATCCATTGCTAAATTGGAACTGAATCCTTTGAACAAACTACCAACAATTTGTGCATGCCAACATAAATATTGTGACATTTGACAGCTTGTTCGCTGAGATCTCCCAAACAGAATCAACACACAAAAAAGTCGATTTGTGCCCGTTATTTTTACTTACCATTTTCACAGTTTGTTCCTTCATAACCAGTAGGACATTCACAAACGAAATTCCCGACTTGATCATGGCATGTACCTCCATTAGCACATGGATTTCCAGCGCACTCGTTTATGTCTGCGGATAACAAGTTTTCAGTTCATTGGTCATTTCTGCTATATTTCATTTTGTTATAAGCAAGCATTACATCCGTCCGTCCTTCCATCCGTCCTTTAGTCAGTCAGTCAGTCAGTCAGTCAGTCAGTCACTGGTCAGTCAGTCAGTCAGTCAGTCACTGGTCAGTCGGTCAGTCAGTCAGTCAGTCAGTCACTGGTCAGTCGGTCAGTCAGTCGGTCAGTCAGTCAGTCAGTCAGTCAGTCAGTCAGTAATCAAGACGTTATTTAACTAACTTTTTCATTTGTAAATCAGTTAGATGTTGTATATGTTGTTCATCAAAGGCCATAACGTTAAAGATATAAGCTGTCTTGGAAAAAAAACCGAGGAATTTTAAAAATAAAGCCCTTCAGCTAAACATCGATGAAAGAAGCTGCGAATGATGCTTCCTACTTCTCAGCCGAAAATCTTCTGAACGCCAAAACCCAGAGTCATTGATACATTGGTCCATCAGCATAGCACGAAACCTTTCAAGCAATGAAAACCGCTACCTCACTGTAGAAACCAATCACTTGTCGACAGTGAACTTCCCACGCAGTGTTTAACTGGTTTAATTTTCGTTCGTCATAAGTTAAGTTTTCGTTTAATCCAAGCAATGTTCGTTTATGCTGGTTCTTCTGGTTTTCGCCTTGGTAAATTTCGTTCTTTAGCGTTTTCTTCTCGTATTTCCTTTGTTGTATGCTGCTATGTACGTTCTTAATGTAGCATATTTCTATTATTTTTGTCCTAGAAACCACTGGCAATAAGTGGTCAAGATTTCAAGTCCTCGTGAAAAAAACTCACTTTGCATTAAACATACATTGCTGGTTCGTTTGCTACACTTGCAAGTGTCAATTCAATTTATATAATAATAATACACATAAAAAAATTACTCGATTCTGATTGGCTAAGAGCAGTGCAGTTCAAGTGTAACACCAGTGCAAAAAGTGTAACATCAGTGCAAAAAGTGTAACACCGGTGCAAATTACACATCGAAATTCTGGATTATGATTGACTGAAAGAAAATAGCAACTTTTCTAAGAAAATGATATCACGTAAAATGATGACGAAAATTTTGTGCTGAAACTTTGAAAAAAGTGGCTTCAAGAAAGATCTCTCGGCACTTCCTCCGCGCGAATTTTTTCATGTTTATATTATTAATAAGTAATCATACGGTTTTTCTCGTTCAATTTGGAGTTAATTTGCACTCGTGAGTCTGTCAAAAAACTGAAATTGCACTCGTTGAAGCGGCTCGTGCAATTTCAGCTTTTTGAAAAACTCACTCGTGCAAATTAATTCCAAATTGAACTCGAAACCGCATGATTACCTATACTAATCAAATGAATGCGCGCGCTCTGATTGCTCAATCAGCTATGGTTTATTGTGCCATTAAACTCATGGAAATTTCGCGTGTCTTCTGATTTATTATTTAAAAGCAATAGACCACAAGCTTCTATGGTTTATAGGCTGATAAACCACTTGGGATGATGGAAGAACACTCGAAGAATTCGTATTCTTCACACATCCCGCGTGGTTTATCAGCCTATAAACCATAAAAATTTGTGGTCTAATGCTTAAATAAATCAGGTATATTTGTACTTTTCCTATGAAGGTTTATAGATCACCTTCTATGTAATAACTGCTCACAATTTTAAATAAATCAGGTGTGTTTTGGACTTTTCCTTGTAAATTTATGCATCACCTTTTTTGTGATAACTACTCGCAAGTAAGTGTAAATCTGGGCCGGGTTGCTCGAAGGCTGTTGGATGCTAACCCAGGATTAATTACAAGTTAACCGAACTACTGATTTTTCTTGAATTAAAATGCTTTTCACTACGAATTCAAAACTGAAGTACAAACAATATAAACAGAAAATCTCATCGAACAGTTACTGAACTGAAATCAAATCCACACTTTGCTATGTAAATTTATGCATCACTCTTGAGAAGTATTCACAATTAAATATAAATCAAGGTATATGTAAATTTATACATCACCTTCTCAGGCGATAACTACTCATTATCATACGACCCGTACGGCCCCGCGCGCAATTTCCTTGGAAAACCATAAGAAAAAAGGTCCCGTATGAGGGCCGTACGCGTCGAAGTGATAGGGCCGGAAAAACACGTACGGCCCTACTACAAATGCGTACGGTCCTACTAGAGACCTGTACGGCAAAATCGATGCGAGTTAATATCAAAAACAATTTTGTTTCTGCAAAATTTTGTTCTCTTCAAAATGAGTGATGAAAGTGAACATTCTGAGAGCGAATTTTACTATCCAGACAAACTGTCCGATAAAGAACTACTTCAGTCGCCAACTCACTCCGCCGAAAGCAAAGAAAGAAAGTCAACACTCCTCACAAATGAAGAAGTTTACAACTTTCTTAGGACCTCTCAGAAGCCAGCAACAAGCAAACAGCTGCAGGCGGTCAAGAAAACAACTTTTCCGGATGAACTGTCCGATAGTTAATCTTTGCAATAAGCAAACAGTCTTGAGGCGAAACTTCTTTCAGTGGAAAGCATCAAAGAATTCACCGTGGGTCAAAAGCAAGAAAACAACGTGAAAAAAACAAAGTACGATGTAAATGTTTTCTTCGAGTTTCCAGAGCTTCTGGGAGAAGTTGGTTAAACCAGAGAAATCACAAACATACCTTGTCTGCAGTAGGATAAATTGCTCTGCAGTTTCTACATCAGTGTTGTTTGTAGAGACAAAACTGAGTACGAATACAGGTTTATCACTGTACAGCTCATTCAGATAACAAAACTCGCTTGCTCCTGATTAATAGTGTAATTTCCACTACACAACAAAGCCAGCAAAGTCAGTAAACCCAGGTACTGTTTGCGAGAGCCATCATCGGTGTCATCAATATTCATTTGTTGGTTCTCCCTTCTTCAAGAGAATTCAAGAGGTCGACAAATAGCTTGAAACGACGCAGACGAAGAAGATTTGTGAACAATTTCAGTGAAGCGTGAAGCGAAGCGGTTTTGACATTAGGCTTTTGTACATTATGCTAGCAATTTTTCGAGCATTTTGGTGAGGCAAAAGCATTAAGCATTATTCGAGCATTTTAGTGGCATTTCTCCCGAAATTAATTTTTTTCCGCGTACAGAAAATAGAATTAAAAATTATTTTTACGAGAAAATGAAGACAACTTGAAATTGAAAAAATTTCAAATGCCACCCTAATACAGCCGAGTCGAGACTCAGGGGGGTCAGCGGTAGTCAAATCAAATAAAAAGATCATTTAGAGAATTATCTGTTGGTGTATTAAAACTATTATATACGTTGAGTTATACTACGTATACGTTTTTTTTAAGTACCCTGAGCTGTTAATTGTGTTAAAACGTTAAAATTATTCAAATTTAAAAACCCTATGTATGAGCATTAACCGAGCGTTTTAGTGACTTTCTGGGGAGAGACCGAGCATTTTAGTGGGAAAAATGGAGCATTAAGGTGGAGCATTTTAGTTGGGAAATAAAAGCATAATGTACAAAAGCCTATTTGACATATTTCTGACAGCTTTATGTCAACTTTCCGTTGGCTTTTTGGCAGGTTGGCCAATCCCATTTGCATGAATTGTAATTGTGGACTTACATTGAAAACCAAAAATGAGAAAATGAGTCGTGTTTTTCGATAAATTGTGAGTTTCTTGTTCAACGCGAAGAAATAAATGACAAGCTTTTATATTGTAGAATCTTTTTTGTAGTTGCTCCGCGCGCGGCCGTTTGATGTTATGTAATCGCGTCCTATTTAGGTTCAAACAAAATTTTCAAAATTTTCAACACTGGGTGGTCATGTGATAAAATGGTTATTGACTGAGTAAGGTCGGGCCGGACGAGAAATTATTTGGCTCTCGGTCAGGACAAACGGACCTCGAGCCAAATATTTTCCCGTCCGGCCCTCCGACTTAGTCAATAAGTACATACAACTGAATATAAATCAGTTGTATTTAGCGCTTTCTTGTGTAAATGTATGCATCACCTTCTTCACAGTGGTCTCCAGAGTAACCGTCCTTGCACTTGCATGAATATCCCGCTTGTTGGTTCAAGCATGTTCCTCCATTATTGCAAGGAGTCGATTCGCATTCATTGACGTCTGAAATTAACAATTGAGAACGATTTGACGTTGTTAACTCAGGGAAAAAAGACAATACAACCGCATTTATCAAATAACATTTTTTATCCTTACGTTATTGTGTTTTGTAGATCCTATTAACAAAGGAGAAGATCCTTGTCAGTGTTTCTTCACTCAGTGTGTTCAGTAATCTTGTCATTATTTCGCTTCTGTCAACTAGGTTTTTCATGTCATTCATTTAAGTCATTAGGCGCATGGAAACCAAATTAACTTTTGTAGCTCGAGTTCTAGAGGTGAAACATTTTCCATGCTCAGGATATTACTTAATTAATGGTTGAACCCGGCGAGTTGCACAAGACCTTCATCGCAGTTTTTCCCCTTCCATCCTGTAGGACATGGCTGACAGTTGTAGCCATCCTCGGTCGTCTTGCAAGTAGCTCCGTTCCTACACGGGGCTGATGCACATTCATCAACTTAAGAAAAAAGAAAACAGTTTAAATAAAAACGAATACAAACGTGTGTTAACGAAGAACTTAACAGTCCAGTTTGAGACATAACAAACACATGCTCTAAGATTCTCTAAATCCCTTACAAAAGCACTTTAAAAAACACAGTAAAAGAAGGCTTCAACTACTGTAGAGTAAATAGCTCACCACAATTAGCCCATTTTCCACTATAGACGGCAGTTAACGAACACCATTCTCTGTGATGAGCGACCTTGGTACAGGAATGGTAAGTCACACCTCCATACACAAAAGGAAAAGCACAACATTGGCCTTGAGGATTATCTGTCTTTGTTCCAGCTGGACATGGAGCCTCTGTGCAAAGAGTAGTGGATTCGATGAAAGTGTTCATCTTGTTTTACTGTTAAAGGAGAAGGTCACTCCAAAAAACGTAGATTTTTGGTCAACGCTAATAAAAACATTGCACTAAGTTTAGCCACTCACCGAAGTTTCACCCTCTAACGTGCAGGCCTGAGGTTTTCCTTATGAAATTCGTGTCCAGAGAAGCCCAAAATTCGAAAAATCGTTCGTGACGTCATTCCGTCCGAGAGATTTTGTTCAAATGGCTTTCGAAGAGCCTTTTAACTACCACTCTGGGTTATGGCTGCTCTTGAGTCATTATTTTGAGCCAAACATGCTCCAAACTCCGAAATGATACCATTGAAGATAGCGAAGTGGATAATCGCTTGGGAAAAAAATAGATTTTGCTGACCTTGTGAAGGATGCCAAGTCAGTTGCCGGTTTTTCTCCTTCCGGCCAATTTCGAGTCGGACAGAATGACGTCACATAAACACGGCCTGGCTGCCAAGACAATTTCAAAATGGCGGCCTCCGAAGTCGCTTCTTTCGAGACGAATTTCTTCAGGATAGCAGGCACTTCAGCGGCTGAAACTTCGGTGAGAGGAAAAGCTGAACGTTTACTTGCTATAGGTGAAGACAAAAAAGTAGGCTTTTTGGAGTGACCCTCTCCTTGAAGAGGATAAGAATGAGGAGTGAAAGATGGCACCACCGCCATTTTGAATTTGGAAAACGTACTTGTCTCGCAGTTGTTTCCTTCAAACCCAGCAGGACACTTGCAAGAGTATGTGTCATCTCCAATTACTGTGCAGGTTCCTCCATTCTGGCAAGGGTTGTTTGTGCATGAATTCACTGTAACAAAGGAAATAAACAATAATTTTTATATATTTTGCCAATGCAATAATCTGTGATGTGTTGCATCTAATTTTAAGCAATTTTGTGATAGAAACATTCAAATACTAGCTGAACTAGTTGAACTTAGTTAAAAATAAATAAATATATTTGTATAGCGCCAAATCCACTAATTGTCCTTGGCGCTTTACAATAAAGATTATTAGAAAGCTAAAAGAAAGGGAGAAAAGGAAAAAAAAAATAAGAAGAATAAACTTAGTTAAAATTTTAAGATATTTAAACATATTTATCATCTAAAAATTATAAGAGTTAAAAAGTTTGTTTGAAAAGATATGTTTAAAATGTCTTTTAAAACTGCCAGTTGAAGAACTAGACCTTAGTTCGAGTGGAATCGAGGTCCATAGTGTTGGTGCCGCCACATTTCTCTCGCCATAAGTCTGAAGTCTCGCTTTCGGGGTCGCAAAAAGGTGTTCAGAAGACGATCTTAGTGTCCGTTGAGAGGTGTGATAATTAAGTAAGTCACTGATGTAGCAAGACGGTGCCTAATTGAGAGCTTTGTAGACCAGTAAAAGAATTTTAGAAACTATACGGTAACAGACAGGTAGCCAGTGAAGGTTTTTTAGGATAGGGGTCATACGATCAAATTTCCTGGTACGTGTGACAATTCTAGCTGCTGTATTTTGAACGGATTGTAATCTTGAAAGTTGAAAGTATTTAAAGGTGATAGATGAATAGGAAAGTCCTTTATCATGCCTCTCCACATCGTAAAGTAAAGAGACCTCTAGCTGTTATGAAACAGATGCATGCAGCAACTTTGAATTTGGAGAAAAAAAATCAGTTTTACTACCGGCCATGTGAAAGTATGGAAGACAGGTTTAGTATCATGTCGTTTTCCTTACCGCAGTTAGCCCATTTTCCACTATATTCGGGAGTTAACGAACACCATTCTCTGTGATGAGCGACCTTGGTACAGGATTGGTAAGTCACACCTCCATACTTAAAAGGAAAAGCACAACAGTAGCCTTGAGGATTATCTGTCTTTGTTCCAGCTGGACATGGAACCTCTGTGGAAAAAGTAGTGGATCTGATTGAAGAGCTTATCTACTTTTACTTAAAGAGAATAAGAGTTAGGAGTGAAATACGGCACCATCGCCATTTTGAATTTGGAAATCTTACTTGTCTCGCAGTTGTTTCCTTCAAACCCATCAGGACACTCGCAAAAGTAACTGTCATCTCCAGTTACTGTACAGGTTCCTCCATTCTTGCAAGGGGTGTCTGCGCAAGAATTCACTGTAACAAAGGAAATGAACAATGATGTTTTACATATATTTTTAATGCAGTAATCTATAATCTGTGGCATTTAGTTTTACGCAACTGTGTCTTAGAAAAACTTAAATTCCTGTTGAACTAGTTGAACATATTTGAAGTTGATAGATGAATACGACAGTCCTTTATCCTTCCTCTCCATATCATGAAGTAAAGAAAACTCTAGCTGTATGAAACAGATGCATGCAGCAACTTTGAATCTGGAGACAAATCAGTTTTACTACCGGCCATGTGAAAGTTATAGAAGACTGGTCTAGTATCGTGTGGGTTTTCCTTACCGCAGTTAGCCCATTTTCCACTATATTCGGGAGTTAACGAACACCATTCTCTGTGATGAGCGACCTTGGTACAGGATTGGTAAGTCACACCTCCATACTTAAAAGGAAAAGCACAACAGTAGCCTTGAGGATTATCTGTCTTTGTTCCAGCTGGACATGGAACCTCTGTGGAAAAAGTAGTGGATCTGATTGAAGAGCTTATCTACTTTTACTTAAAGAGAATAAGAGTTAGGAGTGAAATACGGCACCATCGCCATTTTGAATTTGGAAATCTTACTTGTCTCGCAGTTGTTTCCTTCAAACCCATCAGGACACTCGCAAAAGTAATTGCCATCTCCAGTTACTGTGCAGGTTCCTCCATTCTTGCAAGGGGTGTCTGTGCACGAATTCACTGTAACAAAGGAAATGAACAATGAAAATGATTATATATTTTTCCAGTGCAGTGATCTATAATCTGTAGCAGCTTATTTTAGGAAACTGTGTCTTAGAAAAACTCAAATACTTGTTGAACTAGTTGAACATATTTGAAGTTGGTAGATGAATACGATAATTCTTTATCATGCCTCTCTAGCTATATCATCCCCTTTATCATCCCCTCTCTGGCAGTATGAAACAGATGCTTACAGCAACTTTGAATTAGTATCAAGTGGCATTTCCTTACCGCAGTTGGCCCATTTTCCAATATAGACGGTAGTTAACGAACACCATTCTCTGTTATGAGCGACCTTGGTACAGGAATGGTAAGTCACATCTCCATACACAAAAGGAAAAGCACAGCATTGGCCTTGAGGATTATCTGTCTTTGTTCCAGGTGGGCAATAACTAATGACTTTGGAAAGAAACAACGTTTGAGATTATGATCTTGTAATTTCGATCTTTTAAATGAAGATGGGGCCCTCGTGAAAAGACATTCACTCGAAAAAAGACATTTATTCGCTATTATGTGCATGGGACCTGTAATGCTTTAGCACATAACAAACTTTTACTTTTACGGAAACGTTTACTCTAACTTTGTACAGTTTGTAGTTCGCAATTCATGTCAAACCAATGCCTCTTTTGGTATTTATTTTCACTACTTTTTAAGGAATGTAGTTTCTACATGTTTAATCCATTGGAATATTCTTGTCAAGCCGGCCTACTTTAAAAACATAGAAACTTCGAGTTGTGTCGCTCTCGATTGTGTCGACCCAACAAATGAAATAATTAGAAGCATCTTGTTTTCAAATTAAAGGTGTCAAATTCCAAGTTGCCATTTTTATCATATCTTACCAGAAACCACTGTTACGCTCCAAATGACCAGCGTGTAGATGCCATTACTTGATACCATGGTGACGGGTTTTTTTTTTTTCAGCTGAACATGTGAAGAAAGAACTGTTTTAAAAGCTAAGATAGATGCAAACCTTTTACCAGTATTGTTTTTATAACGTTCTCAGTCTAGGCTACCGTGTTTGATTATCATTTTAATCATAAACATTTACGAAAGAAGCATTGAAAAATGTCTAGTGGTAGGGAGGTATATGAGTGTGGCACCTGATACCAGCTGTGACACGCCTTTTCAATTTTAGCTCTTTTTCTTTCGTTTTAGTTGAGTTAAGTTAAAGCTTACCTATGCCAGCAAAGATGACAGCCTTGTTTCTACAGTCTAACCTCCGCCGAGGCTGGATTAAGAGTGTTTTTAAAATTTCATAACACCAATGAAATAACCAGACTGACAACTGTAGCATCATCTGTTTGACTTAAAATTCAAAGACATGTTTTCTGCTATATTTCCGTTTCCACAGTGTCAGAGACCACTCTAGGTTTGTAGAAAAAGGTATGACCGTCGTGGAAACCATATTACTAACCTCAACTAATTTCTTAAAACAAGGTTGTATGAACATAATTCATTATGCATCATTTAGTCGTTAGCACGAGATCGAACAATATAAAACTGAAGTTCCTTCAGTTGCCTTCTTATGCAAACTATTCAATTAATAATTGAATCTGTCATTTCCCGCTGATTTTATTTCACATATTTAGTGTGTTGTGTACCACAGAACTGATTATAGACGGTTAAATTTCTAGTCTGCGCTACCGCTTATAATCCCCCTGTCCAACCACTATACAGGTCTGTCTTGATAGCTTTCTTGCAAATAGCTTTGCAAGTTTTTTAGCTCTCGAATAAGCGCATTTTTTCCGCGCTTTTTATTTATTCTTTGGAAAGATGGGAAAAGTGGTCTGTTGGTAGGTTAGTAGCTGTGTTTAATATCAATGTAACGTCAGCCAATACATACTAACCACCAAGAAGATTACAATTCTTGTCCAAACGTGCTCTACTTTTCGAATTCCCCGACACAATTTTCAAGGCCATCACTTGTTGAGTTTTATCCAACCCTTGTTCTGTGTTTCGCAAAAGTACGACTCAAATAATAGGCTTTTATAAATCTGCCCCCCCCCCCCCCCCCCCCCCNTTTTTTTTTTTTTTTTCTTGACTGGACAAAGGTTATTTTCTTTCACTTTTTGACTTTCTAAGTTTTTTAAAATCATGAACAGGTTTTGGCACTTCCTAAAATTAATTAAGCTCCCATATGGTAACTTGGCTAAAATCTTCAGTTTAAAAAAAGAGAAAACGTGGAGGTATTGAAGAACCAAAGAGAAAGATGAGCAAATACGGCAAATACGCCTTTAGTGAAATTTCCTTAGCTCTTGGGGATGACGGATTAATTGAGAGGAATGCTTAAAAGACTTCTGACTAAAAAAAAGCAACGTTTTCACAGCCTCTCGCAAATAACTTATCCGCATCCATTTTTCATAGTAACCCTTTTTGAAGGTAAAACTCTTGCGCTAGGAACATTTATTTAGAAGCCCAAAGGTCTTCTCAGTTACAATTTGAGCTCACGTGAATTAAGTTAAAACTTACCCTAACACAAAGATCACAACCTACAGTTGTTTCTCCAGTCTTACCTCCTCAGAAGCTTGGCTAAACTAACACTATCAATTGAAATTACAAGAGTCTAATTTAATAATAACAACTGTAGCAGCATATGACAAATTAAACTGAGACATTTTTCTCCGATCATTTCGTTGCCACAGTGTCAAAAAGTATAAATGATTGAAGGTTAAAGAATAAAGAATGAAGACTGAAGCAGTAAACCTTGCTTTATTAGACTAATTCTTTCAATCAGGATGAATTTATGATTTCTTGTAAATTATTTAGTACATGACGAGATCAGAGAAAGTAAAAGTGGCCAAGTTGTCCTGCCTTCTTATTTGCATTTAAATGACCTGTAATCCTGTTATTATTATTTTCTGTAATTAGTTTTAAGAAGAAATTATAGTTAATTTTTTAGTATTTTGTTTTTGCTGCGAATTTTACTTCCCAAAGATTTGCGACCAAGAAAATGGTTTGTCTGCTTATTGTAGCAATTCAGTGAGTAAGAAATTAATGCGCAATTCCTATTTTATTTAACCAGTTTAGTATAATTATTTTGTGTAATTGCGCTTAGAACGAATCATAATTAATCTTTTAGTCCTGAGTTTCTGCTAAGAATTCCACTAGCCGAAGACTTGCGAGCAGTAACTGTTTGACCCATGTGCATTTTTGAACAGAACCCTTTAATCAGTTGCAATTTCAATTAACGTAGATTAAGTCACCGTTCACCTTCACCAAAGATGACAACCTTGAGTTGTGTTTACAGCCTTACTCCCTTGAAGCGTGCTTAAATAAACAGCATCGTTTAAAATTTCACGAGTCCTATAAACTAGAGTGCCATATGTCAAAACAAAGACATTTTCTTCAATATTTCCGTTGATACTGCGTCAGGCAAAGCAACAAGCAGCAAGACGTAATATAAAAAACATCTTTGAATGCATTACATGATTTAGTTTTCCAAACTGAAGCAAGTGTTACCATATCGGTATGAACACACATTCTTGAAAGTGAGATACTGTATTTATTTTATGGTGAATAGCAAACTGAGAATTAGTTAGCGATGACATTATTTAATTATTACTGGTTATTATTGTTCCTTAAAAGCCCCACTGGAGAGGTGTTCATATAGCATGTATACATGTACCTTATTTTAAAGAGCATTTAAATTAAATAACGAAAATGAAATATTTGATGAAACAAGCACAAACGCATGCGCTGGTTATGCGTCTAACGAATAATGGACGAACGAGGGAGTTTTGAGAGCTCTAGAGAATGTCTTTTTTAAAAGAGCTGCTTGAGGCTTAGCCGAGAGTATACTTTAGCTCAGTTCTAGAGTCTAGAAATTGGGAATAAGAGAAAAATCGTTTTATTGCGGTAGCGATACCACATAATTTTTAGCTCAGCGATGACGTCATCCATGACCTTAAGCGCGCAGTTCGGTTTTTTCCCTTTCTCCCCTGCTAAGTACTGTTTTGTCAGAGAGTCTTTAGCTCATGTTTGGCAGGTTTTAGGGGGGACTAGAAAGGCGTAAGTTTTGGTCCGATATCCGAGAGAACCTGGATACGAGTTTCTTGAAGACCACTTAAGTTGAGATCGGCCATTTTGCTTTTTCCCCATTAAAAATATGTTTCGCTTTTGTAAATATGTAGCATTTTGCCTTTAGGCTGTTGCTCACACGTAGATGAACGCTGAGAGAGGTATTTATGACTGTAATCATGTATCAACTTCGTTCCCAGGCTCTCTCTCTCCTCTGCCTCCCTTAGTCGTTGGGAGAAAGACCCTGGTTGCGGCTGGTCACGTGCCCACCTGTGACACAAACTTTTCCATCAGGGTAAAGTCAACGAATAGTTTTTGTTGATTTCAACTGAAGCGAAAGAAAGGCGATTGCTGGTCATCGCTTTAAACCACACACGGGCAAATACACCTTTGAAATTCTCCAGTCCTATTCTAAGCTTCACACAGGTCAGACGAAATATATTTATATATATCCAGCGTATTCAAGTGTCTGACGCTGATTTCAATTCCAGCCGGTCGAGTTATTAAGAAGTAAAACTGTTTCGCTGTTTCATGTTGCCCGGATTAACCTCACGGCACATTGCTAGCTATATAAAACGATGTGTTATTTACCAGTCTGCAAAATATAATTGACTATGCCAAAGAACCGTGTAAACTTACATAAACCTAATGCAGATGAAATATAAGTGCGGGCTTATGTCAGAAGAACTCAGTGTAAATCATTTTACGGTGAGTAAATCAAATGCAAGTCAGAACACTCGGCTAATCGGATCAGCCGTGTGACAGGAATACTTTTTAACATCCAAAACACCGCACAACGAAGAAAATAAATTAGCTCCGAATTCAAAGATTCCAGAGACTGATCCACTGGTTTCACTTCGATACGGTACGTGACGTTTTACATGTGCGAACCGTCGAAAAGTTTGTGCTCATTCGACTGCCAAATTTCTTTGTGAACGAAAGTCTTCTATATTTTGGGGAGGGCAGAAATGATGTTGGATTCTTCATCGACAAAATTCGACTTCGAACCCCGATAAAGCGGGTAGCTTTTAGCGACTGCTCGTGGTTTTGAAACCCTCCAGGTTTATCACAGCAACAATCAAAACCCTCTGCCACCCCTCCCGCCCAACAGTTTTATTTACCACCCAGATTCAGGGTTGGCATGTGCTCAGCCGGAATTAGGGTCTTTCTCCCAACGACCAAGGAAGGCAGAGGAGAGAGAGCATAGGAACGAGGTTGATCATGTATCAGTCACAACAGCACGGCCGGCGAGGTCAAAGAATTGATACAAGACAAAGTTAGAAAGTCAGATAGTGTTAAGTAGACGCGGTAGCTTTTTTCTTGGTTAGGGAATTCGAAAATTTCCGCTTTCTCTCCTTGTAGAGTCCAAGGTAAGCCTAAGTGCTTGTTTAGTTTTCGCCACATCAAGTTGTTTCTGCATTGTATTTTTTTTTTTATGTACACATTGAAACTCCGCTGGCGGTGCTCGCGTCGGAAGTCCGAAACCCGTGACTTAATTTGTATTTTAAAATAACCGTACTTCAAGCAAAAAATTCAAATTGCTCAGGCCAAGCAAAAAAAACACAAACGTTTCTCGTCCCCGCCCGCTTAGTTGTACCTGTCAACAATCTTTTTAAATATATCTGCATTGCTAGTGAAATTAACACAAACAATTGCCAAGATAGGAATAAAATACTGTGATTTCCATTTCCAACAAAGAAAATTATTGTTTTTTTCATTGTCTACATTACAACCTGTACTACCCTTTTTATTTTGTTGTTATAGTTGACTGAAGGTGCACATTTCATGAGGCGGAAGTATGATAAAAAGGCAGGGATTTCAAACATTAATCGCTAATTTATCCATGAAAAGAGGTGTAGTTGGTGTACTGTGGGTATTTAAAGGGGGTTTTAAGCTTGAAGCTACATGTATGTGACAGGGTAACCTTTTCTGGAACAAACACTATACAAAATGGGAAAGGATTTGGACCTTGGGGCACAGCCTCCTTGTTAAAACTTTGTTAAGTCCCCTGGGCATAGTTAAATGGAAAAAATTACAGTGTAAACAAAAACACCCCCTTCACTTTGTGTTCAAGGTCGAAACAAAATTGAACCTTTTTGGTACAAGATTTCGTGGCAGAGTATTATTTTTAGCCGAGCATTTCCAAGAAGCCCTTTCTGGGAGGGATGCTGAAAACTGTCTGAAATGATTCTTATAATATTTCGGGAAATACTTCCCTCTCTATTCCCATTTACCAGCTAGCTAAAATCAAATTGTTTACGTTTGTCATGGCATGAAATAAACAAGAGTTTGGCAATATCCATGTCCCACTAAAGTAAAATTGTGCAAAATATTCTTGGTATTCCCAAGATGATTGTCTTAAGATTATGAATGTTAAAACCGTGTGAAATACTATCTGCATAAGTGCAATCTAGCCGTTTAATAATGCAACACTCGACTGTTAACTGAACAAGGACCAGAACCAAATTACCTTGACGCAAAATGCACCACTGACTCACTAATATTATACATATTGATGTGAAGTTTATATGAAATAATTCATATATGAACTGCGGTTGTAGATGAAAGTGAAGAATGATCATCGCAGTAAATTTTCCAATTTAAGCAA